TTTGGATTTGAAAGCCAGTCTTGTACATGAATAATTGTTTCTTAGGTAGTTATCATTCATCACATAATTGTGGGACTCTTGTCTTTTCTCTTACTGGGTTATTACCACACTGTGGGACTGTCTTTTCTCTTACTGGGTTACTCTCATGCTGTGGGACATAGTCTTTAATCTTACTGGCACCCTGTGAGACTTGGTCTTCTCTCTTACTGGGGGACTTCCAAATTGGTGAAAATTCATGAAGTTGACATCTAAATAATTATGCCTGATAATAGTTTTAGATCATTTGATTACAGTATATGTGCTTTTTACTATGATTTTAGGTATAAATTGCGAAGGAAGTTTTGTATGGACTGATATATTTATTATGATTTTTAGCAAGCAACATACAGTACAGTACAGTACAGTACTTACAATATAAATGTGCACTAAAAATAATTTTAATAATTTTTGTTTTTATGAATTAGGTTTATACAAATTTATCAGTTTGTATACATAGGGTATTTTTATATTAGGGTAACAAAAGTGGCAAATATCAGGGATTAGAATGTGTCAAATATGTAATGGTTACTGTGTTCCTACTTAAAAAAAATGGCTTCCAGTTAGGGACAGTTTTTCCATATTATCATGTAACTGCTTGAGTGAGAGGTATTGTGATAAGATACCCGGTAGTTTGATGCAGCTTCATAAGAACAACAGTACAACGCCATGGGATGTTAACTCTTCATAAATTGTTTTATCACTTGTTAATTTTGTAAAAAGAAAAAAGTCACTAACTTAAATATGATGGTGCACCACCTATATGTTAACTTTCGTATTTGCAATATGATAAGGACTCTATAGTGCATTTACTGTTTTCTGAATATTGTATGTGGCTCCTATCTCTGGGAACAAGAGACATTTATCATATTTTACTTGTATTATGTTAAGATCATCTTTAAGGTTGATATTCGTGAATAGCTATATCCTGCGTGTAAAGTGGAGAAAGACTGTGTAAATATTTTCTCAGTTGGACGTGGAAAACACAATAATAAATACAAAAGTAAAAATAAAATTATAAAAGCTGTACAAAGATATTAATCCTAAAGATGACAAGTGAACTGTTATGTGTAACCCTTTCACTGTGTAACATAGGAAATAAGGGAAGCACTCTTCAAAGAAAGTTTAAAAGTCATCACTTGTGATGTAAAGTTCATTTCTTTCATAAAAACGAGAAACTGGTATTGCATTGAATTAGTTTGGGACCTTTGTTTTGAGGATGTGGTGTAAACAATGCCACTCCCAGAAACTGTTCATGAGTAACTCAGTTATTATAACATTTTTAAGTAGATGCAAAATTTGCATCAGTAGGAAACTGTATTCACATGCAAGTTCACCTCAAGGCACCTCCAGAGTCAAGGCAATATTGAGACTTTATTCAGTGTAAACTCAATTGAGTAAACTACTGTAATTGGAACCAGATCTGCTTGAAACTTGCAAGGTTTTTGTTATTTTTCACTAGTGTATTGTCAAAATTTTAGTTCTCTATTGCAAATTATGAAATACAGTGTTGAGCATATTCAGTACTGTACTGTATTTATATAAAAAGTAATATATTAATAATGCTTTTTATAAATACTATATTGGATCAATAGATTTTAAAGGATCAATGCATGAATATTTGTAATAAGGCAAATAGGACACTGGGATTTATTTATCGAAGCATTAGTAACAAGACACCTGGTGTTGTTCTTCAGCTATATCTTGCTCTAGTTAGGCCCCCATTTAAATTATGCAGTTCAGTTTTGGGGGCCGTACTATAGAATGGATGTAAATTCATTCGTTGCACCTATTGTAGTGCAACGTAACAGTAAAAAAAAATGGAAACTTTAAGAGAAAAATTACAAATGCATTTTTCACTTACATAACTGAAACACAGTTCCTTGTTACCCTGTATAGGTGAATTCTTGGTACACTGTACTTACATTAACACTGTATGCAGTGCAGGACAAGGATTCTCATACAGTAGTGTACTGTAATTTACAATTTTCACATTTTTTATTTTTTTAGATCTGAAAGGTGCAAGTTCCTAACACCACTACGAGCTCTGTTACTTTTCTCAATTTAACATCGTCTTCTATATTAAGATTCTCCTCTTCCTGCTACCTGCTTTAGCTTGACAAGTACTGCTGGTAGATATCTTTCCTACTAAAAATTATCAATAGAATTGATAATTCAATTGAAATAATTCTATTGAAATATCAATAGAATTATGACTGAAAATCCTTGTGCAGTAAGAGGTCACACCCCATGAGAACAAGTAGAAAATGCACGTAATACAACTTGTATTTTACAATTTCTAGCAAAAGCCAAGTAACAGATTCATGTTAAAGGTATGATAGTGGTAAGAAGTGTGAACTAAACATTAAACGTGGGCATGCTTTGGTGTTGGACTAGTGTATTGATGTGCCTTAATCTAACAGGCATCCTCATCTTCAGTTTAGTTCATGAATGAGATTGGGTGGATAAAAATCTCATAGGAGCTGCCTCGTATGGGCCAATAGGCCTTCTGCAGTTACCTTCATTCTTATGTTTCTATTCTTCTTATGTTTTCTTTGTCAAATCATCAAATTTTTACTCTGCCAGAGGTTTCATTCTAGCATAATTCTTTCTATGGAGGTTACACTGAATACAGTACATGAGAACAGTAAGCCTGTTATTAACAATCTGGTGGATATATCCAATTTCTGCAGCAAAAAGATTAAGGAAACTTGGGCAGTTGCATGATAAATTTGCATAGTTGTTTTATCCCATTTTTAAGAGATGCATTTAAAATAAAAACTTAAAATTCAAAAGTAGTTAATGTTTAAAACAGTTTGTAATCATAGTTGATAAGTAATAACTGCTTATATTACATTTAATATTAATGTAATTATATTTGAGTGTTTAATTGATGTCCACTGTTGTTCAAGTTATCACTTTACTATCAGATCTAGTAAACAGTTTGCTCAAAACAATCACGCAGTACAGGAACCAGTTTAAACTTGCTTTAAACACTTACGGGAATATCATATGGGTTATGAAAAGTATATTTCAGAAGTTACAAATAAATAATAATGAATATACATATTAGCTTTATTTTACCCATTGTATGACTTGGTGCAGGACAGACCAAAACATTACCATTTCTTCATTTTCTGATGTGTGGTTTGGATATGATAATCTTCAGCCACATTATTGTCATTGCTAATTTGACCAACTACGCTTTTGAGTTTGATTATCAGTTATCATTACACATTGCTTGTCATGTTCCATCCTAAGGAAATGCATTACAGTATTTGGTACATAAAATAATATATAACAAGAGTACCATCTATTATCAATATATGTATGTGTGGTTGCCTATATCTTAAGAAGCCCATAAACTAGAAAAGATGCAAAGACATGCAATTAAAGGAGTCCCAGAACTAAAGGACAAGAGCTATGAGAAAAGGTTAGAAGCATTAATCTTAACATATCAGGTAAGATGAAAAGGTACTGTAGCGAGTAAATTATGTAAATTTACTCGCTCCAAACTCATTGGCTAAATGATAGAATTAAACCTCTAAATACCTCATCATTTCCACCTAGTGGTATGGGAAACGTATCAACACGAAACAATGGAGTATAAATTGGATAAGTTTAGATTTAGGAAAGACTTGGGTAAATACTGGTTCGGTAACAGGGTTGTTGATTTGTGGAACCAATTACCGCGTAACGTGGTGGAGGTGGGGTCCCTCGATTGTTTCAAGCAAGGGTTGGACATGTATATGAGTGGGATTGGGTGGTTATAAATAGGAGCTACCTCGTATGGGCCAATAGGCTTTCTGCAGTTACCTGTGTTATTAATAAATATTAAGTGTGTGGTCTATCTTGAGATGATTTCCGGGCTTTAGTGTCCCCGTGGCCCAGTCCACCCCCAGGAAGCAGCCCATGACAGCTGACTAACTCCCAGGTACCTATTTTACTGCTAGGTAACAGGGGCATAAAGTGAAAGAAACTGCCCATTGTTTCTCGCCGGCGCCTGGGATCGAACCCAGGACCACAGGATTACAAGACCACCGTGCTGTCCGCTCGGCCGACCTGCTCTCTCCCCGGTCTGGTGAACATTTTTCAGCCACGTTAATATGACTCCTCGCCTGCATGGAGATATAGTATCGTCAGCAAATAATATAGATTTTAGAACATTAGAAACATTTAGTAAGGGTTGTTATGGACAAAGGCTACAGTTTAGGATTAGCGCCTGGTCAATCCTACTCGGCAGATACGAACCCAGGCCAAATCGGTCGCGAAGCGCGGGTTACCACTGTGCCATGGGAAATTTATGTAGGAAGTAATTATGATTTACTGAATCAAAGGCGTGTCTGTGTCTCAGGCCAGTGAAGAGTCCAATAGGGAACTCATGGACAGCCAAGGGCTGTGTAGATTAGATGAAGCAAACTGATAATATCTTCACGTATTCCTTTTTGTATCGGAAGCCAAACTGGCTGAGACCTAATATGTTGAATACATAATAAAGCTGTAAAAAAACATGGTACAAAACTAATAATAATTCACATCAAGTCTGGACCACAACTCATATGTTTATTTGTAAATTATTTTTTAAGATACATAAGTATATATTTGCTATTGTTGATCTACTATACATTGATAATCATACATATTAAATTGTTTCATTAACGCTTCACAAATTTGGCGTTGGTATACTTGTATTTCGTCATTTTAATAGTAAATCAGAAAATTTGCAATTAAAATTGTTTAACTGTAAATAAGGCACGTCATAATGACGTCACGAGCGTGACGTCATGCAGAAAAGCGGACCCAAAGGACTTATTTTCCTACTAATACTTAACTCTACATTATATACATATACAGTTAATAATTGCTAATAATGAACACATAGGATATGTATATATATATAAGAGAGAGGAGCTTGAGGAAAGATGATGGGGGGGTGTTAAGGTCAGTGAGGGGTGGAGGGGAAGGGGGGTGTGAAGTGAGGACCAATGAGGGAGCAGCGTTGTGGTCCTCCACAAGGTCCACCACTCACTCCATCTGTTGTTGTGGAAGCTGGTCTCAGCCTCCCTGTACACACACACTCCTCCTGGGCCGTCCCTACTACACCCACGCCCCCAACATGAAGGTGAGTAGTGTGTGGTGGTGGTGGTGGCAGGAGAGACACACAACATATATGGCGGCGCTCACACACTATACACCATCAACACCTTGACTCGTGTGTCTCGTGCTGGCCCCAATGTTTCCCTCTACGGGCCCCCTCGGCCATCTTATACCCCCTCCATCACCCCCCACTGGTCCCTCATGTTGGGGGCCATGAGGGCCCACAGCTGGTGGTGGGAGGGCCACACCACGCCCACCCCCACCAACCTCCCATACTGATGCACACTTTCTCAAGTATACACAATAATACACTAATGAGATCAACATAAGATGTGGTGTAAGGAGCGTGTACTGTACGTGCAAGATGAGTGAACAGTGTTGGGAGGCTCTTTCTCATTTTAATCTAGTCGGAGCACTCTGCTCGCACTGTGTAGTGTTGGGTTCCCAGATGGAATGATAGGATTAATAGTTCTTTTGCCAGGGCAGGCAGCCTGTGTGTATGTGTGCTGTAGGCCTATATCGAGCTAAAACCATGATTAAACTGCAGGGCAGGATACACCTGGCAGTTATCTAACTTCCAGGCACCTATTTAATGCTAGGTCCTTTGGTTAGGGGCTGTCAATGCTAGGTCCTTTGGTTAGGGGCTGTCATTTTCCCTAGGTTAATGACAGCCCCTTTCAAAGCTGGAGAAATTGCTGACCTGGAGAGCGTGCAGAGATCCTTTACTGCTAGAATCCACTCAGTAAAACATCTAAATTACTGGGACCGACTAAAGAGCCTAAATCTGTACTCCCTTGAGCGCAGGCGGGAGAGATACATAATAATTTACACGTGGAAAATAATTGAGGGGCTGGTCCCAAACCTGCACACAGAAATTTTTTTTTTTTTTTTTTTGAGATATATACAAGAGTTGTTACATTCTTGTACAGCCACTAGTACGCGTAGCGTTTCGGGCAGGTCCCTGGAATACGATCCCCTGCCGCGAAGAATCGTTTTTTCATCCAAGTACACATTTTACTGTTGCGTTAAACAGAGGCTACAGTTAAGGAATTGCGCCCAGTAAATCCACCCCGGCCAGGATACGAACCCATGACATAGCGCTCACGGAACGCCAGGCGAGTGTCTTACCACTACACCACGGAGACTGCACCACATACATGAAATAACACCACATGAGACCAGAAGACATGGCAGGATGTGCAGAATACCCCCGTTGAAAAGCAGAGGTGCAACAGGTACTCTGAGAGAGAACTCTATCAACATCAGAGGCCCGAGACTGTTCAACACGCTTCCACTACACATAAGGGGCATAACTGGCAAACCCCTCACAGTGTTCAAGAGAGAACTGGATAAGCACCTCCAAAGGATACCTGATCAACCAGGCTGTGACTCATACGTCAGGCTGCGAGCAGCCGCGTCTAACAGCCTGGTTGATCAGTCCAGCAACCAGGAGGCCTGGTCGACGACCGGGCCGCGGGGACACTGAGCCCCGGAAGCACCTCAAGGTAGCCTCAAGGTAGGTGAGCAGAGGCATCAGGTGAGAGGAAACATGCCTATCCGCTTATCCCACGAGAGTGAGTCGAGAAGGAAGCCAACTGTAGCTTAATCTTGCAGACGTGTTTATAGCCTTGATGTGAACCTGACCTGTACTGTATGTATAAACTAGCAGCCTGTCCCCCGACACAATGAATAATGAACGTGTGTTCTATGACATACTGTATCTCTTCTTGAGGTTATAAGATAATTTTGGGGCTTATCGTCCCCATGGCTCGGTCCTCGACCAGGCTTTCCTTTCGTTACACATCCCCAGGAAGCAGTTCGTAGCAGCTAACTCCCAGGTACCTATTTACTGCTAGGTAACAGGGCCATCGAGATGAAAGAAATGTCCCATTTGCTTCTGTCTCCACCGGGGATTGAACCCGGAACCTCAGGACCACGAATATGAAGTGCTGTCCACTGGGCTGCCAGGTCCCTGACTTTTTTTTTTTTTATATATATAATAATGTTTATAACCTAATTCAAGTGTGAGAAAATATGATTGCTTCAACCAAACTCCTATGAACGATTGAGTTCAAGGAAAAGAAAGTGGTCATGTAGATGTACAAATCCCAGCTGTACTCTTAAATGGACTACTGCATCGAAGTATGGAGACCTGACCTTTAAAGAAATCAGTAGTGCACTTAATAAAGAATTAAATCAGACCTCATACCAGGAAAGGTTGAGGGCCTAAGGACTAACAACATTTCAAACCTGACAAGTCACATTAACAACGTTATTCTTGGAAACGGTATGATGTTACTAGGCATTCTTTTTGTCTTCTATTTCTGGGCGTCGATGTCAGTGGTTTTGTAAGTTGTCTCGTGGCTCTTTGCGGACTATCCATTGATGCTTAGTATTGTTGGCCTTGGCTCTCTCTTATTGGCCTTGGACATGGATATGTCTTTACTGTTTCTTAAATTGTTTGTGGTGTGCTTTTATCCCTGGCTGGGTTGCTCTTCTTTTTGAGCTGTGTTTTAGATTTGGTTTTGGAGGGATTGAAATTTTTCTGTTGCATCCAAAATTTTGTGTGCCAAATTAACATTAACCCTTGGGCCACTAAGGGCCATTTTGCCTTCAACACTCACAGGTGCAACAAAAATAAATTAAAAATTCTTTTGTCTTGTAAAAGTGTTCATTTGTGGTCCCTGATCATGGGAAAAAATAAATCGTATCTGAATGGCATATTTGGCTACAATAGGGAGAGGGAAGTCTGGCAAAGAAGAGGCGTTGACAGAGCAGTCGCCAGACGAGGTCTGCTCCGCCCGGGCTGTCAGCCAGGGGTTGCCACAAAGATATTATTACCTAGTTATTTCAATGTCTGATTTTTTCTTTTTTTTTCAGTAATATTATTCAATAGTGTGTATTGTGATATTGTATATTTATATAATGTGTGAACCATTGCTGTACTGATGGCCTATTGTGTTCATATTAGTAATTCAATTATGTTCATAAAATAATGAACAAATAGTTTTGCTGTTATTACACTATATACACATGTTATATATATGTATCTGTATGTTTTGTTCACCATAATGAACCACTTAAGTTGGTATTGTGAGTCAAAAAGCAACGAAGAGTGGCCTTCACTCACCAGCCAGCCCACTCGCCATCACTCCCTCACTCACCATCATACTCCTCGAACCATACTGTGTTTTTTTTTTTTATGTGCTTGAGAATGGTCCAGGACGGACTGAAACGTCGTCGTCCCTTCACTTTCTAGTGTGTGGTCTGGTCAACATACTTCAGCCACGTTATTGTGACTCATCACCTGCATACTGTTTTTGCTTTTTATTCGTTATACACAGACGTTAAATACAAGTATCTACATGTTTTGTTCACATAATTGTACATCTAAGCTTGTATGGCGAGTTTAAGCAATAAGAGACGTAGCTACACACACAGTCAGCTGCTGACGTCACTGGTTCAAGGCCATACGCACTAATATTTCTCCTCCAATAATACTGTTTCTGATGTTGTTACACTATATACACATATTATATATATAAGTATCTACATGTTTTATTCACCATACCTATACAAATAAGCTGGTATGGTGCCCAAAGACCATAGTGGCCACCAGTAAACAACATGACAAGTCGTGCAGACGACGCACTTCCCTCACCAAAATGGCAGCTCCCAACATACTCGTATTGCTGTTATTTCACTATACACACGTTATATATATGCATACATTTGTGTTCACCATAGCGAACCACTAAGCTGGTATGGTGAGTCCAGTCAATAAAAGGTGGCCACACACAGTCGGAAGAAGACGCCACCACCCTCCCTCCATGGAACAGAACGCTAAATATCACCACAATCCTGCTATTATCAGAATCCTGGTCAGTGTTATCACATTCAAGTGTCTTCTGTAATATCGCTAAATAATGACATGTACGTATGTACTGTATTTTGACTTTTTAGGTGATGCTGTGGTCACAAGCTGAACAGTGGTGCTGTGAGCTCATGTTGCGTGCGTCAGCCCTGGTGGCTTGCTCAGTACTGAGGCTCGTACGCCCAGGAATGTTGGCCACGATTTTTTTTTTAGGTGGCGTCTGCCAACTAGCGGTTGTGGCTGAACTATAGTTGCCCCTATCCCACACGGGGCATTTTAATTAAAGCGCTAGACACTAAAACAGCTATTAATGTATTGCGCGGTATCGGTAATGATAATCAAATCGTCTATACTGTGTATGTATTGCACGGTTTAAGGGTTAAAGTTTGAATTTTTTAAGGATTTTTGTAAAATTATCTCTGAAACACTAAATCTGTTATGGATACAAAATCTTAGGAAAGAAATATTCACCAATCATTTTGAGTTGAGATTTTCATCTATTTTATCTGGATTTGTTTTGCCAGGATCCACTCCACACTGACTTCTATATTTTGGAACAAGTTAACAGCATATACTGTATTGATAAATGTGTACATGTAGGGCATGATTAAGTTTTCACTTAAATTGTTAACACTTTGGCGCACCCCGCTCGCCACCCCTCAACTGTGCGATATGGGACCCAGGGTGTCACAGGAGTGCGCGCAAATTCTGAAAAGTGTATACTCTCTTCAACTTTGTCACCTTAATTCTCGTCCTACGAGATTAAATTTGGTATCATTGTGTTTGCAATAGAATTCTCTACAGCACTAAATGCATATAAACTCCAAAAGCCCGGCTAATTACCCGCAGCAAACAGAGAAAGTGCGAACGAGTTACCCAGGAGCGCGCAAACGCGATAAAATGTTTTCACTATTTTCACTCTGGTCACCTCAATTTTTATCCTAGGTCTTTCATTTTGGTCTCAATGGGTTCGCAATAGAATTCTCTAGAGGAACATTAGCATATAAAATAAAAAACCTGGTCACGCTCCAACTGCCGACGAGTTGAAGACAGGCCACGCGTTAGCTGTGAGTGAGTGCTCAGCCGCCTTCCAGCTACACTCCCAATTCACGCCCTTTTCAAGCCTTTCTTTCGCAATTTTCTTCCTGGAAGGGCCTTGTTCATGATCACTATTCATCGTGGAGTAAGCGTAGATAGTTTCTAAAGCTGCAGTAAGAAATATAGCCACGGAAAATAGCCGAAATGTTCACACGTTTGAGATGCGAGGGGAGGCGACATTGGTCACAACAGTGGAGCGAAAACAATGGGCCCACGGCATGTGCCAAGCCACCTGAGGGCCACGAGGCTCAACAAAGAAAATGGGAAGACATCGGTGCGCATTTTAAAACCAGTCCCAAAAAAATCGGATAAAAACCTGATTTTTGGCGATTATTTAAAGTGGATGACGCAATGCTGCGTCATCCCCAGAATTACCGCCAGTAAACGGATGACGCAATGCTGCGTCATGCCCGGGCGAAAGTGTTAACTGGTGATGACATTTGTGTTTCAGGCTGGAGCATATGAGTACGAGGAGGATGGGGAGAAGGTGCAAGGTAACTCTAAGAAACCAAATGGGTTACCAATATGGGGTAATGAGAAGACAATGAATCTCAACCCACTAATTCTGACGAACATTCAGTCATCACAGTATTTCAAAGGTAGGTGAAAAGGATCACTATATGTTGCATGACAGGTTTCTCAGTTGTTGGAACCAGTTCATCTCATATCATATTATTGCTGTTAAAGAAAGTGGAGCTTGATTGATAATTTATGTTTAACCTCTTATTTTCCATTATATAATTTTTTTTTCTACAGTAAACCTTTACCAGCTGAAAACATACCATGAAGTAATTGATGAGATATACTACAATGTAACTCACTTAGAGCCTTGGGAAAAAGGAAGCAGAAAGACCTCTGGCCAGACTGGAATGTGTGGTGGGGTACGTATTTATCAGATTTTCATATTTCCTACAGCTTATAATTAGGGTTGGTGAGACGTGGTGTCCCGTCTTCCCGGCACACTGTCATATAACGCTTTGAAACTACTGACAGTCTTGGCCTCCACCACCTTCTCTCCTAACTTGTTCCAACCGTCTACCACTAATTTGCAAAAGTGAATTTTTCTATGTTTCTATGGCACCTGTATTTAGTTACTTTAAATCTATGACCTCTTGTTCTTGAAGTTCCAGGTCTCGGGAAATCTTCCCTATCAATTTTATCAATTCCTGTTACTATTTTGAGCGTAGTGATCATATCGCCTCTTTTTCTTCTGTCTTCTAGTTTTGGCATATTTAATGCCTCTAATCTCTCCTCGTAGCTCTTGTCCTTCAGTTCTTGGAGCCACCTAGTGACATGTCTGCACTGTTTCCAGCACCAAACTCTGAGGGTTTAATCTTCGCTCTCCTTCCCTAGTGAGTCCAATTTTATTTTTTTCTGTGTTTAGCAACAGGGAGCCCTGTTCTGCCTCCTCCTGTAAGGGGTGGGGGTGCTCAGAGGCTCCATGGATCCTTTCCTACTAGCGTACCAGATGTGTTGGTTGGCTCCTGTTTGACTCATGATTGAGTTTTGTTCGTTGTTTATGGGAAGCCAGCAGCTCCGATAGTGCTACCACCCGGTGGTGGACAGCTGCTGCTAGAGGGGAGGATATAACCTAAATAATGGGTAGAGTGATTGCAGAGTATTTAGCTGCATTGTTTATTTATTTACTTTTAATCTTGCAGTTGTCTGTTTAGCTTCACCTACTTTTTGGGGTTTGATTCTTCGGTGAGGGGGAGTGAGCATGAAATCCCTGCTCTCTCTACCTCTTTGAGGGGGGGGGGGTGGCTAAGTTTTGGCCTCTTGTTAGATTTTTAATGACGTAAAGATCTTGTCATACTAGTACAAGTGTGGAGCTCTCTGTGTGACTAGCAACAGAACTACTGAGGCCTTCCCTTCCTTCCTACCAGAAAAAAAACCATTAATCACATTTAAAGCTTTTTTTGTTTCAATATGAGAAATTTTGATCCACTTGCAAAGTTGAATACCTTTAATGGTACAGATTTATTTTATAATTGCCATTAAAAGGTTTAGCTTTGGAAACGAAGTGAATGAGGAGAGTAAATATAGCTAGACAGGTGGAAGAAAAACTGCAGAAGGCATCATTAGAAGGTTGAGAAATTAAGTCTGAAGGATGGTTGACAAGTCTTAAAACTAAGTTGATTATAATTATAACTAATACTGAACACATTTTACAAGAGCAACCAGTTAGTGTTTATAATTTAAAATTTTAAGAGTGAATTGATGAGACAGTCGTTGTCAATTACCTGTGTTTATTGCAGGTACGAGGTGTTGGTGCAGGAGGAATTGTCTCGACAGCCTTTTGCATATTATACAAGCTTTATACCCTTCGTTTAACACGTAAACAAGTCACAGGCCTGCTCAATCATGGGGATTCTCCCTACATCCGAGGGTTAGGTTTTATGTACATAAGGTAAGACTAATTGCTGCAGTAACATTTTTCCACTTATTTAAAAGATATATTTATTAAATACACTTTAATGTGATTCTTATATAGTGCAAGGCTACAAGATGGTATTCTTTGTATTTTATGTGCTCTAAAGATTGTTTAGAATGAATTGTTGAGATAGAGGAAAGATATTCCTTTTATTGTAGTAAACATAGTAGTAGAAGAATGCTGAAACTTGACAATAAATGAAATTTGGAGGGAAAATATATTAACTTTCAGGTCAATTAAATATATTAACTAGCACAGTTAAAAGCTATATACCTCAGGGCACAGTTCTTACACCACACTGCTTTTTCCTTATTTCTATATCATATGCCTATTTCTTACCCAAAATGCTGTTCATATTAGTGGCTTTAGGCATAGTATGTACTAGTTTTATCTAGAAATCCAACATTGTTTATCACTCATTTTGAATGTATGTACTTTTACCTGAATAAACAGATTTATAGACAAATACAAATCTCAGCTTTGCCATCTTTTGCATATGACACAAAAATCAGCATGAAAATTACTCGTGTAGATGACACTGAAAACTACAAGCTGATATTAATAAAGTTTTTGACTGGGCAGCAGAAAACATGATGGTTTAAGTGATTAATTCCAGGTATGTACTTAGGTATGGTAAAAATGAAGACCTTAAACTAAATACAGGGTATAAAACTAATCAAATCTGCCCATAGTAGGAAAGCAACATGTAAAGGATCTGAGAATAATGATGTCTGACAACTTAATGTTTAGGGAGTATAACCAAGCAAATATAGCGTCGCCTAGAAAAATATGATGGATGATGAGAACCTTCAACTCCAGGGATCCCATCACAATGCTCATACTATGCAAATCACTTGAGTTGTCCTGTTTGGGTACTGCCCAATATTCACTTCCACCTTCAGAGCAGGAGAGAGTGCTGAAATAGAAGGGATACAGAGAACATATATGGCACGCACAGACATGATAAAGCATCTAAACTATTGGGACCGTCTCAATGCTCTCGAAATGTACTCTCTAGACAGAAGATGAGAGGAGTATTGAATAACACATACAGTATGTGGGAAAATACTGGAGGGCCATGTACCAAATTTGCACAGTAAAATAAGACTGAGTGAACGATATGGAAGGAAATGCAGAATAGAGCCAGTGAAGAATAGAGGTGCCATAGGCACAATCAAAGAAAGCTGTATGAACATCAGAGATCCACGGTTGTTCAATATCCTCCCAGTAAGTATAAGAAATTGCTGCTGCAATTGGAAATTGACTCGAGGAAAAAACTGAAGAGTGCAGATAATGAGTCACAATAACGTGATTAGAACACTAGAACATGACGGGATGACGACGTTTCGGTCTGTCCTGGACCATTCTCAAGTCGATTGTGAAATGATGGTCTGGTCAACAAAACTGAAGAGTGTTCTGCAAGAAGTGCTGGACAAGCCAGGCTGCAGTGAATATGTGGACCTGTGGGCTGGACCAAGCTGTCACAAGTCAAGCCTGGCCCTGGGTCAGGCTTATGGAGTAGGACCCTATGCAGAACAGAGTACTGGGAAGACGGGACACCACGAGCATAGCTCTCACTTGGGTAATTACACTTAAATAATTACTTATCCCCAATTTTAAATCTTACTTGGTACCTTACTGCGGCCTCAGCCAGGATGCACAATGCAGACAGTTAGCCTCTGACTCCAGCCATGGTGTGCAGTGGAAGTGTTAATGAATAAAAACCTTCATTTTCCAAATATTTAACTTTCTGTACTCGAAATTCACTGGATATAGCTGGGTTAGATCATTGCCTGCTCAAAAAATCGTCTTAATGCACTTGTCACTCATTACTGCAGTGCCTTTAGTATAAGAGACAGACAGTAATAATAAAAATGTTAAGTTACTCATTGATCATACATTTCTTATTGAAGGCAATTTTGTCGTGTGAACACAAACCAAATTTCATTCTGTTAACTAAAAGTCCTTCATTGATATGAGAAGAAATAAACTTTGCAGTTAATGGTGATAATTTTTCTTATGTAGGTATACACAGCCACCTGCAGATCTTTGGGACTGGTTTGAGCCTTACATGGATGATGAGGAGGTAAGTGTCGTCACCATCACCAGTCACCACTCCTCTCCCCTTCCCCTCTTCCCTCTCCTCCTTCATCTGCCTTCCTCTCCTCTCCTAATACATCATGGATGTCATTTCATGTTTTTCAAAACAGGAATGTGCATGCAAGATATTTTCTGAGAGTTAGTGACTACAGTACTGTCTCCTCATAATTAATGTTAGAAAACTTGAAGATCCATAAAATGCTTAAATCAAATTTCTATGTATTAGTATGGTTCTCAAATGTAAAGTAGTTGCCTTTTGTATGAGATTGTAATATGTGAAAACAAAGAACTGTTCATGGACAAGGCAGAAAATAAAATACAAAGGAATTAAATTGAGAAATAGAGGATACTAATTGTTCTAGAAAACTGGTGTAGAACTTGTGTTGTTGCAGCAGACCACTAAGTGCAGCTGAACTGCTGTGGTCGAAGAAAAGCACTAACAAGTTACTTTTCTCCCATACTGGGCATATATACTATAGATCTTCAATCATACATCTAACCTAGACACACTCCATGGGTGACCAAGGCTAGCAGTAGCTGCTTTGTGGCACTAGTCTTTGTGCAAAACTACTTTTTCCAGTTTCTTTTTGAGCCTCAGTAGGTGCAGATTTCATGGCAAATGTTCTTTCTTTAGTAGTGGTTTCACATTAGCTGCCTTGAAATGTCCTTGTCAATAATTTTTCAATGTCGTTCTTCATGTTCCCCAATTTCCTCAACATGCTACTAATATTATCCTGTTAACATGTTAGTGTAGGGGGTTAGATTATATCCACTCTAGTTTTTTTCTCAATCATGTAGTTGCTTCTGTATGTGCACGTGCACATTGAGGAGGCATGATTCGGAATAAATTAGATATTTAAAAGATCTTGAAAAATTTCTGGATAATAATTTTTGTCTTTCTTTCTTTACTGAAGATTGGGCACCTTGAGTGATGTTAGGAGGTTTAAGCCTGTTCTTCACACTGCATGTGGGGAGGAGGTCTTGGGGATTTAATAGATGCATCACTGTTTTGTTCCTCACCGTTAGTTTGTCAGGTGTAAAGGGGTAGAGATTGACAAAACTGCCTAGAACAGTATGAAGGATTTTTTTCTCTAGTCCTACCTATCTTTTTGTCCTGCATTTCCCATTGGGTTCTAAGGTGCTTTCATCTTGAGGTGTATCTTGTCCATTATGTTTTGGCATCAGTCTTGCTCAATCCTTCATCTAAAAAGGCTGCTTGTGCCACACCGGCTAAAATGAGAGCTTGTGCATTAACGTAACATAGGTGGCGGTTTCATTTCTCAGATTATACAGAGGCATTGCTTGATTCCCTATTTTAGAAGATATTGTATACCATTTCTGCTTTAGTTGACCTACAAGTTGATCTCGGGATCGGAAGGGCGCTGTTCAACTCCAAAGGCAGGTACTTCTCTTGATTTCCCTGCAGTTATTAACTGTGGTTGTGACAATTTTTCTGGCTCTATAAAAAAAAATATATTTTAATTTGTTATTAAATGTATAATAAGAAAATGTGCTGTGTCTGGCTGTGAAGTTAAAAAAACTGGTGATTTTTTGGGGTTTCCCACAACATAATTATAAATGCATCCTATATTTAATGACTTTATTAATGGTAATGGGAAAGGGGTCACCCACTGCCAGTTGTTCCCATTCTGGTTGAATCTGATACTAAAGAGTTTTGCCAGAGAATCAATGCCTTGGCATATCTTAGCAATTGGCTCATTTCACTTGATCTTTGATTCTTCCCACTAGCCAGGAAGAAAGCATTGGTGGTTCTTCAAGTTAAGCATTCTTACCAACGCGCTGAAATTCCAACTACAACCTTTGCAATAATTAAGTTGACTCATTTAGGATACCAGGGTAACCTCTATTTTGTTTCCAAAGATAATCTTTTGGTCTCCCACCCATCTTGACCTTGTCCATGGGAAGTGCCTTCTCTTGACGGGAGATAAAGAATCTACTCGGCTGGCTCAACTTTGCCTACATTGTACTTGTTATATCCCATGGTTCACATCTGGCTGAAGTACCTGAACAGGTATAGTAAAAGGTAACAATGTTTGTCTCTTTAGCATTCAGGTACCTCCTCCTTTACTCTCCGTTGTTTTTTTTCCTCTCCTACAACTCCATATATTTGCCTTGCCAAAATGTCCAGTGAGATGTGGGCTTGCTCATCAGCCTTCAAATTGCTGGGAAGGGACATTGGTCTTGGAAGGTGGTGAGATAAATATCTTAGTTTGGTTATTAAAGGATGGTTTAGGTAAATAGGGTGTCAAGGAGACAATTGAAGTGAAGTACAAGGGTTGACAGGCAGTCAACATCCTGAAAAGAAGTGAAATGTGTCAGGAGAGCCTATTTTTGTGAAAAACAAAAAGAAAAAATGCTATAGAATATAATATTTGAATTAAACTATTGGAGCAAAAGTTTGTAAATCTTATTATTGTAGAAAGGTAATTGAAGGTTTTAAAGATGGTACCTGCATTATAAACAAAGTAAAGGTAGCTATAAATGTTTTAGTGGCTTTCATATTGTTTTTTTTACTTTGACTCAAAAGATATCTTTGTTTTAAGATTTTTGTCTGGTGTTATTGCCCCTCCTAGTGCAGGAAAGTAATCTAAAATACATTATGATGGCAGGAGGTGCAACATAGCCTCGTTGAAAAGCGGAGGTGCAATAGGTACATTGGGAGAGAACTCTTATCAACATTAAGGGGCCCAAGACTTACCAGAACACTCCCTTTTAACATGGACATAACTAGCTGGCCTCACAAGGTGTTGTGAGGCCACAGTACATCGTGCTGTGAGTAGCCGCGTCTTACAGCCTGGTTGACCAGGTGGCCTGGTGAAAGGCCAGGCTGTGTGAATATTTATCCTTGGAACCAATGCAAGGTAATGATTATTGCATATTACTCCATTTATGTATTACTTATGGATCCCACCAAAGATATGTTGAAACAGGGGACTGAGTTGGTATGCAGTACAGGATCTTTCACAGTGATCAATCTAGAGCAGTTGAAAGATAAGAAGGCATTCTCCTGCTTAAAAGTTAAATCAACCAGAATGAAAATAAAAGTAAAGTGGTAGGCATCACAGTTGTATGAAATGATTTGTTCATATACAAAATTACAGTGCCTCAGTTCTTCTTACATTGCTCCAACTTTTCTGAGCATTCCATATACACTTACATACTCATGTTATTGCCCCTCCTACTGCAGAAAAGTAATCTAAATTAGATTATGATGGTACATAATAATAATCATCCATATACAAGTTTAGCATGGCAGATGGGGGTATGCATTTTTCTGCTGATATTATCAACTTCAGTGCAGAAAATTCTGTGTGCTATATTTTGCTCTCAGATGCTATTGATAGTTTTGTGCAGTAATGTTTGTAATTCTAATTCAGTGGCATTTAATCCAAGAACTGTAACAATTGATTGAAAGGTAATTAGCAATGAATAGTAAAAACAATTTTTGTTTATTTTTTAGTATTACTGTTTGTCAAATACGGATCTGCTTGTATTCATCAAATTCCTGTAGCAAATTGATCACTTGGAAATGTATTACATTAGATGGTTTTGGTTCACCCATGGAGTGGGAAAGATTATTTTTCTGGTGGGAGTCCCCCTTGTGGCTCCCTGAAGTTATCATCCTGAGATTGCTTCATACTAAAAGGTCAAATCAGCTGCACATAGTTGTTTGACTGACCTCTAGAGACCTGGCCTTTCCTCATTGAGGCGCAGAGAGCAGGCGATAATCTGCCTCCTCGGCAGAAAAAGCCTCTAGAAAGTTAGCGTAGCTTTACAGACAACTGGAGGGTTCACAGAAAATGATGCTTCTAAGGGACATAAGGGACATTCGCTGTCTTTGCTACTTGATAATGATCATTCTTTCTAACCTTCCCCCCCCCCCCTCCATGCAGCTTGTTCCATAACGTTCCCTTCCTTTTCCCCCTTGCCCTCTGGGTTCATTGATTTGTCTTGGGTTAGGTCATCAGGAACTGGCTGGTAGCTGGGGCCAGATCACCTTCTAATTGGTGGTAATTGGTACTAGAGTTAGTTTCATGTTCATTTAATGAGCATGTTGAAAAGTTGGTTGGCAGTCTTTGGAAGCTTCATTTCCTGTGAACCCTCCTGCTGTCTGTAAAGCTACGCTGACATTAATTTTTTTTTTTTTTTTTTATGGTGAGGAAGCAGATTATCGCCTGCTCCTCTGAATAAATATCTGCCGTTAGTGTGACCTTTTAGTATGAATCAATCTCAGGAAGCCAGCTTCAGGGAGCCACTGGGGCTCCTCCAGAAATTGGCATTTCATTACACTCGACGCCGAGTTTTTTTAAAGGCCATACATAATCCACTATACAGACACACCCACTACTTTCTTCCATCCTCAAACTTTTCTTTTACCAATTCCTCCTATCCTAAAATTCCCGCCTTACCCTGACTGGTGATGGTCCGGCAGTGGAACGGCATCCACACACTTTACGGTGAGTAAATATCAACCTTTGTTTATGTTCATTCAGTTTTGCATGTTGGGAGGGTTTTCCTATGTGGTGTCGTTGTTTCTTAGTATCCAGTTTATCACATTCTCAGAAGATAGATAACATACCAGATCATTTTGTTACTAAATATATAATGTCATTGCCAAGTAATGTTAAAAGATATAATTATATGCTGCATGTCATTGAAAATTATTTTCCCTTAATGAACAAAAGTTTAAGAAAAGGCAGAATAGTTAAAAATCTAACATCTGTTTGTCACTTTTTAAGTGGAAAATGAGACCTTCTCCAAAGTGAGAAGGATGAGCTTTGCCTGGGATCATAATATGAATGACTTAACATTGTGTATACCATATCAAGTGTCCTTCAAAAAGGCCATTTCTGGTTAGAGGAACAACTCCGTTTACTATGCTACAAATACAGTGCATTATAATCCCTGCAATCAGTACTGCCATGCAGGCAGAGCTCTGTTATCAGCTCTGGAGTAGACTTGATAACTCATTGAAGGCAAATCTCAAAGAATACCAATATTACTTTAGCATACTCAAATGTTGTTTGCTTTCATATTAATGGTCCTGCATTAGCTAACACCTTGCAGCTTTAGGGTTTCCACCTATTCTAGTGGTGTATCAAATCAAGTATCAAATCTGTTAGGTTTTAGTTAGGAGAGCATTTAATTCTTAAAAAAAACTTTTCTATTTTTATGAAGGAAGACTTGTATAAAGGGTAGATTAACCTTACAGTACTGTAGTCATATCAAAAGCATGAATACTGTTTACTTAATGAGATGGAATAGTCTGTAAGTTAATTCTTGGATTTTGATGAGTTTAGAGCAAAGTTCATTAGGTAGGCAGGGAGGAAGTGGGTAGAGGGATTAACCGTGCTGTTCTCCCCAGGCTAAGTGGTGAGCCGCTGCCTCCTGAACGCCAGGTGACCTCTGGGTTTGAGCACCACAGGTTTCTACCCGAGACTTCATCATGTTAGCTGTATAGAGACACTGGTACATGCAGGGAGGCTGCTGCCTTATGGTGCCCCTTTTAAGGAGATTTTTGTTTATTATTTCACTTGAGGGTAAATAATTTAATGAATTCTGGAAAGTAAATACAGTATTAATTTGATTTTATATATTTTATAAGCAATTTGCAAATTCTTTCCAGGAGTTATAGCTTACTGATTACCTCAATGATAATTGTATTGAGTCATCCCTGCCTGTGCTGTGTTTTCCATTCAGTATAAATGCCCTTGGGGTCTGTACTCAGAAAACCCTCCCAGAGCAGTGAGTCGTAAAGTTATGCTCTTTCAAGGTATTTTACACTATACTAAAAAGAAAGTGCTTTACAACTTCAAATTTTGTATTCAATATAGTTACAATAATTCCTTGAGAGATAATGGCTTTTTATTTTTTAAATTTGTTGAAGTTATGGTAGAATCAATATAATATTGCCAGTTTTGTGCATTTTTGGCATTTGATATGGTAGTTTTGTTCACTACTTTACATAGACATTTTATCAGGATACAGACAAAGCTGAAAGTGGGTACAATGGTCGTCTTGTTAATTTTGTCTCTGGGAATGGAGAAGAATTCAATGTCTTTCATTACTTAAGTTTCCTCTTGAGAATAATAGGGTTTACACTGAATTGCATATACACGTTTTATACTGTTTTCAGCGGTAAAACTTGTTTAAACATAGCAGTACCCTGAAGTTAATTATTTTTAATAGATTCCTGGCTATTCAAGTTACAAAATTTAAAATCTACATCCTCCTGTTTCATGACTTGCCTAGAAGTGTCCTCAGTCCTTATGTATATAGGTAATACTTTGTTCCCTTAGAGAACTCCTCCTCCATGAGGGGTGGCTTCATGCTGGATTATGTCATAAGTAAAACAAGCTTTGACTAATAAAATGCCTCTTTCTGGTTGAGTCCTGGTAGCTTTCTCAAGCTATTTTGCTGAGATAGCTCCCCACTACTGTATCACATTTATTTATTTATACAAGAGTTCTTACATTCTTGTACAGCTACTAGCATGCATAATGTCTCGGGCAAGTCCTTAATCCTAATTTTCCCCGGAATACAACCCCCCAAATCATTTAACAACTCGGTACCCATTCACTGCTGGGTGAACAGAGTTTCGGTTAAGGATTAGTGCCCAGTCAGTCCTCCCCAGCCAGGATTCGAACCCTGGCCAAACCGCTCGCGAAACGCTGGGTGGGTGTTTTACCACTGTGCCACGGAGACTGCATCAGTTACAGGAATTCTGTTTGACTACTGACTAACAGAGCCATTGCCTGGCCTCCCCACCCCCCTTCACACAGGCACACCGAGCAGGGGACTATTAGAGTAACCTCACCAGGAAAGCATCCAGAAAGTCAGCAAAACTTTGCAGACATCTGCAAGGTTCATAGAAACCAAGCATGATCTCACCCAAGCAACTCTTCAATGATGATTAGCTATGATGACACTGGAGACAAGAGGAAAATGAGCCTCGGAGGATCAAGGAAAATGGTGCCAACCAGCAAGGCCTCCACCGAGGCAGAAATGGTGCTAAACAAGCAGTAGCAAAGTACTGGCACCAGGCACAACTGAAAATGAACCCCCCAACTGGACCACCCCAAGTATTAATCACCAAGGTGTCTCCCCAATCCCCTGAAGTCGGCAGACTCGTTCATCATCAGAAAAGGAGACGGTGGCAGCAAACAATCACCCGCTGGGGTCAAAGAAAAGAAAAAACCTGCCTGCAGAGGAGGCAGGAGGGAGAAGACACCTGCCTGCCTCCAGAGGAGGCAGGTGTCTCCTCTCCTTTGTGAGAGCCAACAAAAATACCACCCTGAGAAAACATGCCTAACTGAAGGGGCAACTAGGAACTGAGAAGTGAAAAAAAGTCAAAGACCTCATCAAGAGATCAAGACAGCTCAGAAGGAGCATGAGCTGGCCAGAGGTGAAAGAACGCTTGTGGGAACATAGAATGTTGCTGAAATTTTAATTACACTGAATGTATGCAACAATGGTTGCCAGTGCCAAATGATAAGAGGCAACAGTATCAGGTAGATGATGTCGACTCAAAAATAATTATGTATGTGGACAGAATCCGTGGAACAGAGACTAAAGAGAAGAGGTGAAGGGACAGATGAGGCAAAATGTGCACCAGGCAACATCATAATGGAGAGATGCAGGTGAAACACCACCAATCCAACCACTGGATGTGCAGAGCAGGAGCAAACCACTGAGGTACACTGTTGGGCTGACCATCTTAAAGTGAAGTCGCAGAAAAATGCACGAGTTCAGATACCGGGCCAGAAACATTGTTGAAGCTGCCCACCAGAGAGACGAAAGGATCACTCTCCTTGAGTACAACTCCTAAACTGGAGCAATCATTGAACCTAGGTAAAGAGGTAAAGGATCCATCACCTGAAAGGCGTCTACCTTGAGATCAAGGAACAGAGAAACCTAGGAGTGGAGAAGCCAGCTTTATGTTGATACAAGAGGTCCACCTCAAGGTAAATTAAAATGTTGCAGAGGCATCAACAACAGACTTCACCATGGAAGGGAGAGAACCTGTACATGAGAACATCGGACACCCTACACGCAAGCCACGTGGGGGACCAAACCAGGTGATCCAAAAGCAGAGCTACATAGAAGAAGAAAAACTAGCACTAAGTGAAAAACTATGCTGATTGTAAATCTAAGTGAGCCCCTCGCTGTTCAGGGAATGAACCACCAGGAAACAATTGGAAAGGAGCAGGAACATGAAGCCTGGAGGAAGCCGAATCCTCTGGGGGAGCATGCCATACAGCTGCAATCTCAGGCACCAGACTGCATGCTCAACAGAATGGCCCCAACCCTGAGCCAAGACAACTCTGAAAACATCGAGCAACAGGAGAGAATGACACCACGTAATCAAACCCCGAGAGCCCGAAAGGAAAAGCCAACAAAGGGTGGGTGGGATCCGAATCTGACAGTCTCAGCAGCAACGAGATAGGCAGAACCAGGGGAACCAGTGCAGCACATGAAGCCAACTCTTCCCAAGAAAAATGACATGAGAGAGGACGCTCCCCACACTGGTGGTCAGGCACCTCTGGGGATAACTCCCGAACACACCAGAGGAGGAGTTTTGTCAGTGCAGGGGAGTTTTGCCAGAGCTAGACTGGCATCCAGGTGAGGAAATTCATTTTTTGCAGGGAGCTCGTGCAGCTCGAAGTGTAAAATATGCCAGGTCTACGCAAACTTGCCAGAATTTAAATCTATGCACATGATGCAAATACTAAAAGAAAACAATTCTCAAGAAAATAAACTTAGCAGAACAAAAGTCCAAAGGATGGCTGGCACTTAGCTAAGAAGCAATTGGACCAACTGTGAAAGATTGGCCTGAGGAGCAGTCAACAAGCGTGTTTCAAGCGATTCATTAGATTCAACAGATTAGTTTGCAGAGTAATTTGGCTGTTTCAAGGCTTCATTTTTCAATGTATTTTGCAGAGTTGTCTGTAAAGCTTTGCCAAGTTTATAGATGATTTTCCTGTGAGGGTGACGATAATAGTTCCTCCTGCTCTTTGCTCCTTTACAAGGGAGTTAGGTTCTGGCTTTGGTTTCCATTAAGCCAAACAGGATTCCTGCAACTGATCTGACTTAGTAGGGAGTCATCTCAGCGAGATAGCTTCAGGGACTCGCCAAGAGGCTTCTTCCGGAAAGTAGTCGGCTTTTCTTAAATTGAGAGAGAAGTATTTATAACAAAAATTAAAAAAAAGAATGTAACAAATTTGAAAATGTAATTGTATGAAAGGTTAGTGTAGAGGTTGAGAAAATAGGAGGTAGAGCAAGTGGGGCTAGTGTGTGTGTGCGTGTGTGTGTGTAGACAAAAGGAAGCCCCATCAGTGGGGAAGTGGGTATTGCCTTACTCTTTTTCCCCAAGGTAGCAGTTCCATGCCAACAGATACTAACCAGCCTACTCTACTCTCTACATTAATGTAAACATGACGGATACTGACATTGGAAATCTTGAGTAATTGCAATTCTATCGAACTGTATGTTTATTAATTGTTGCAACCTCTGTGATTGAAGTTTGCCTCCTTTTCAACTCCATTCCTAGGGCATCTTTTAAAATGTTAATTGTAGATAGTGGTAATATAAAAGATTATCTTTGCATGCATCTTAGGTTTTTCTTTTTCTGATAGGAAATCGATGTGCGGGCAGGTGGTGGACAGACGACGACAGTTGGTCAAATAGTGCGTCACATGTTGTCAAAGCTGGATTGGTACTCCACCCTCTTTCCACGCATTCCTGTGCCAATCCAAAAAGATTTGGAGAAGAAATTAGCTGAACGTGCCTCTTGCAAACCAGCAGCTACTACAGTGACTGTTAACTCAGCATCAGGCAAAAATGACTGGTATGGCACGAGAGCAGAAGCTGATCCATCGACCCGAGAATCTGCACGAGGATATGAGTAAGTTTAACTGTACAAGATGTAAAAACAAATAGTATTATGTTGATGGTAATGAAGTACTCCTTTTGAACCAGTTCCTTGGATACTTCCTGAAGCAGAGTTCACTTGACACTGATAACAAAACCCTAGCAGGAGTTTTGTTATCTTTTTCTCCTTATCAAGTTAAATGCAAATGATCTTAAGGAAATTATGGAAGGGAAATCGTAGCGAGCCTTAACAAATGCCTCCGCTGAGGGACAAGCTCACTATTATTCAAGAGAGAATGCAGTAGCCTCGATGCTTCCTGTCTGAGAATTGGTAACGAGCAATAGCATTTACCATTTTAAGTACTGATTAAAGGGGCCAAGTCTCATTTACTCAAGAATATGATATGCATATTGTTTTGATTACCATCTCATGTCATACCTTTCCAGACTGTCATTTTTCATCTCCCTTTTATATACTCAATGATAGAGGACATTTTAGTTGTTACATAAAGACTGAGTGCCCTCACTGCGCTCGTGGGGGATAGGTATACATGCCCAGTGCTCCCGAATTTTGTAAAATTTGTCAGATTTACGTTAAATTCAAGCCGTGTTGAACACGAGATTGCAGGACAGTGCAAGCAGCAGCCTAACTAGCTTCAGGGAGGTGTTACTCACCAGTCTCATGAAGTTGCAAAGTTAACACTTTGGCGTACCCCGCGCGCCACCCCTCAACTGTGCGATATGGGACCCAGGGTGTCATGGGAGCGCGCGTAAATTCTGAAAAGTGTATACTCTCTTCAACTTTGTCACCTTAATTCTCGTCCTACGAGATTAAATTTGGTATCATTGTGTTCGCAATAGAATTCTCTACAGCCCTAAATGCATATAAACTCCAAAAGCCCGGCTAATTACCCGCAGCAAACAGAGAAACTGCGAACGAGTTACCCAGGAGCGCGCAAACGGGATAAAATATTTTCACTATTTTCACTCTGGTCACCTCAATTTTTGTCCTAGGTCTTTCATTTTGGTCTCAATGAGTTCGCAATAGAATTCTCTAGAGGAACATTAGCATATAAAATAAAAAACCTGGTCACGCTCCAACCGCCGACGAGTTGAAGACGGGCCGAGCGTTAGCCGCGAGTGAGCGCTCGGACGCCTTCCAGCTACACTCCCAATTTCCGCCCTTTTCAAGCCTTTCTTTCGCAATTTTCTTCCTGGAAGGGCCTTGTTCGTGATCACTATCCATCGTGGAGTAAGCGTAGATAGTTTCTAAAGCCGCAGTAAGAAATATAGCCACGGAAAATAGCCGAAATGTTCACACGTTTGAGATGCGAGGGGAGGCGACATTGGTCACAACAGTGGAGCGAAAACAATGGGCCCACGGCGTGTGCCAAGCCGCCTGAGGGCCACAAGGCTCAACAAAGAAAATGGGAAGACATCGGCGCGCATTTTAAAACCAGTCCCCAAAAAATCGGATAAAAACCTGATTTTGGGCGATTATTTAAAGTGGATGACGCAATGCTGCGTCATCCCCGGAATTACCGACAGTAAACGGATGACGCAATGCTGCGTCATGCCCGGGCGAAAGTGTTAAGTTCGTTGTGAGCATAGGAGTGCAGTACAATAGTATACTGCACCAGGGAGATATTTGTGTGAGCAGTGAAAGGCTGCAATTTATTTCTTCAGTGACATTTGTGGTATTGAATTGGGCAGTACAGTAGCACAAGTGAGCAGTGACATTTCCAGTAGTAAAGTAGTGGTGAACCTCTGGGAAGAGCCAATGATGTCTAGTTACAAGTGTTTAGTGGTAGTCTCATGGTGAGATCCTCTCAGTCTTTTCTATAATTGGTTTGTCATTATTTTTATCCTTAATTTTACACCATTCCTGTTTCCTCTGGTCACATGAGACTTCCATGTTCTTTTATACACTTTTTGCTTTAGTTTAATTTTTTGTTTTGCCTTTCATTTAATTCAAAATTAACCTTGTAGTTAATTTTTCACTGATGCGCATATATATAGTAAATGACAAGTATTGATGGAAATAGTTTGTAAGTAATAGTTTGTAATTTTTGTTCACCTTTTTCCCTGATACTTTCCCACCTCCATTTAAGTAGTAAACAAGGTAGTGATATTCTATGTGCATTTCTTTTGCTTTGCAGCCAAGGAAACAAGGACTACAACTCAAGAGATAGAGGAGCTAACCGTGAACGAGAGAGAGATTATGAACGGGAAAGAGAGAGAGGAAGAGAGTACGAGAAAGACCGAGGGAAAGACAGAGAAGTAGATCGCAACTATGACAAAGAAAAGGATCGTGAATATGATAAGCGAAATGAAAAGTATTATGAGAGATCTCGAGAGCAGCCTCGAGAGAAGAATGGAGATTATGAACGAAATCGTGACCGGCACCGAGAACGCGAGAGGGATCATGACCGAGAAAGGGACCATGATAAAGAAAAAGATTACGACAGACACCGACACAGAGACAAAGAGAGGAAGAAAAGTCGCAGTCGAAGGTTTGTATTGGGGAAATTTTTTATATACAGTTTTTTAATTTTCTTTTGTTAAAAACTGTTTAGTCAGTTAATTTGTGGATGAGTTTTTAATGTAGAGTGTGCACCAGCATGGGTTCTGTTTTCATGTACTCACCTAGTTGTGCTTGAGGGGTTGAGCTTTGGCTGTTTGGTCCTGCCTCTCGACCGTCGGTCAACTGATGTATAGATTCCTTAGCCTACTGGGCTCTATCATATCTACATTTGAAACTGTGTATGGAGTTAGCCTCCACCACATCACTTCCTAGTTCATTCCATTTACTAACTACTCTGACACTGAAAAAGTTCTTTCTAATATCTCTGTGGTTCATTTGGGTACTCAGCTTCCACCTGTGTCCCCTTGTGTGTGTACCACCCGTGTTAAATAATCCATCCTTGTCTACCCTGTCAATTCCCGAGAATTTTGTATGTGGTGATCATGTCTTCCCGAGCTGTTCTGTCTTCCAGCAAGATGAGATGCAGTTCACGCAGCCTGTCCTCATAACTCGTTCCTCTTGGTTCTGGGACTAACCTAGTGGCATACCTCTGAACTTTTTCCAGCTGTGTCTTGTGCTTGACTAGGTACGGGCTCCAGGATTGGTTTTACATATGTGGTGTACAAGGTTCTGAAGGATTCCTTACACAGGTTTCTGAAAGCAGTTTTGATGTTAGCCAGCCTCGCATATGCCGCTGATGTTAGTCTTTTGATGTGGGCTTCAGGAGACAGGTTTGGCGTGATATCAACTCCTAGATGTAAGAGTTGCATGTTGACGTGAATGGTAGTTCACGTTTGGAAATTATACAAGGCAACTTCAAGATAAAATAAGTTTTCAATGTACTGTAGTTTAGCATTTAATCAGGTCATGGTTGGGCAAACAGTTATGTGCTACCTCCCACATTGACTTCAACACCTGATTGTTAGTCTCATTTGAAATATACCAGTACTGCATAACACACAGTTTGCCGTTATAATGTTAGTGGAATAGAAATTGGCTATTCAAGGAGATGTATAGGAGCATTTGAAATGTTTCAAGAGAGGAGAGAGAGGTGTAACCCACGTTTAGTGGATTCGCCTGTTCGATACAGCTGCTATACTGTATGTGATAGTTCTTTTAGGTATTCTGGCAGTAAGGATTCCATTGGATGTCTGCTCTCAATCCTCACTGGTTGCCTCCCTTCCTATTTTGTTCTTCTGGATATTTTGAAAATTTTATATTAACTTTATACATGAAATGTTTGATTGTTCATAATACAGACATTCCTATTGCAATTAGTCATAATATTGACCATCCTATTGTAATTGTAATCTTGTTAGCCATCCTCTTGTTATTGTCATAACAAAGGCCATTCTATTGTAATTGGAATGTAACCCTTTTGATAATGACACATTGCTAAGCATTCAATACAGTACCCCCAGGAGCAATGTGTTGAACATCAACTGAAATTGGGTATCCAGTTGAGGCATGGAGCCAGTTTTCTGCACTGTAGTGTTTTATACTTAGTGGTGTTTGGTGAGAAACCCCTCAAGCAAACTTAATCTTTGTTGTTGTTTAATCTATATAACAAAACTATTCTGAGTTATGCAGAACCATTTCTAAAGGGTAGAACAGCTTCTTTCTTCATTTATGTCTTGTGGTGAAAAGATGTTATATAGTTTGATCAAAATGAGTGACACCTGTAATATAAACAATAGGAACATATGACTGGTTCAGTAAGTTTGTTGTTTATTGTAACTTACCTGTCCTGTAGTCCTGTAGATCCATCAATCCTTCCACAATCTACTCTTTCCTTCAATGGCAAGTGTGTGTGCATTCTGGCATGAACTAACCTGTGTAATAAATTGCTCATCAAATGCAGTCAAATCACACTGTAGAACAAAAAAAAAAAGGAAAATAAAAGATTTGAAAGTAATCATATTGGAAGACCTTACATTTAAAGAATAATGTACAATAGTGGTCATAACTTGAAAAAAGACAGGTTGGATAAAAAAAATCTTTCAAACATGATATGCCATGCCAATGAAACTTTTCAAAACATTAGTGCTCTCTAAAGTGAAATATTGTTGCATAATAACAGCCCCATTTGAAGCTGGAGAACATGCAAAGATCTTTTACTGGTTGAATCCACTCAATAAAACATTAAATTAAAACGTTTAGTAATTAAAAAAGATTTTGGACCGTTTAAATTTTAAAAATCTGTATTCCCTAGAGCATAGACAAATGCATAATAATTTACACTTAGAAAATATTAGAGGGACTGGTTCCAAATGTGCACTGGAAAATAAATAGTACCACATGAGAGTTGAAAGTAGCACTAGTGACATAACTAGCTCACATTATGAACTACTATTAACCCTTGCATTGCTCAGGGCATTTGTGGCATTTGTCACCCACAGGTGCATACCGAAAAAAAAAATTCTTCTAAACCTCTTAATTTGTTTTATCTGATCATGGGGGGGGAAAAAAAAATCGTAAGTGGCATATTTTGCCCGCTATAGTGCTGAGAAGTCTGGCAAAAAACAGGCGCTAACTCAGCGTGCGTCCCAGACGGTCTGTTGCTGTCGGGCAGGAGTGGCCACAAAGAGATAATTGCCTAATTATTTCAATGTCTCTGATTGATTTTTCATAGTTTTTTTGCTTTAATATTATTCAATAGTGTGTAGTGTGATATAATTAAATGAGTGAATCATCGCTGTACTCAAATATGGTGTGCATATTGTTGATTCAATTATTATGTTCGTCAGTGAACAAATACTTTGTCGGTTATTACACTATATACACAGGTTATATATAAGTATCTGCATGTTTTGTTAACCATAACGAATAACTAAGTTGGTAATATGAGTCAAAACGCAATGAGGAGTGACCGCCACACACCAGCCAGCCACTCGCTGCCACTCGCTCCCTCAACACCTCACTCGCCCACATTCTCCTCCCACCATACTTTTTGTTTTTATTCACTATATACAGATGTTATATATAAGTACAGTGGTACCTCGGAATGCGATTGTCCCTGTATGCGAGATTTTCGGAAGGCGAGGTGTATTTACTCCAAAAATTTGTCTCAGAAGGCGAGGGTTACTTCGGGAGGCGAGTTTGGACGCGAGTTTGTTGATACGCGTACAGCCGACCTAGCGCGTTCGTCGCCCCTCCGCCCCTCAGTTTATTATTGTCTCGCGCTCAGTGACTACCCCCACATCAATTCTTCTCGCGGATTTTCAGTGTTTTGTTGGATTTTTGGTGATTTGTCTATACAATTTGTTATTATATATCTCACCATGGGTCCCAAGAAAGCCAGTGGTAAGGATAAAGGCCAGAAAGCTCATGTGAGGATGACAATAGAGGAGAAACAAGAGATCATTCGGAAGCATGAGAACGGTACACGTGTTGTTGAACTTTGTAGGCAGTACAACAAAGCCACATCAACAATATGCACTATACTTAAGAAGAAAAATAAGATTATGGGTGCTAAAGTGGCAAAAGGAGTAAGAACATTAACGGCACAAAGACCACAAATACTTGAAGAAGTGGAAAAGTTGTTATTAATTTGGATACACGACAAGGAGTTGAGGGGTGATAGTGTTTCGGAGGCCATTATTTGTGAGAAAGCCAGGGTGTTGCACGGAGACCTTCTAAAGAATACCCCTGCAACGAGTGATGCAGATAAGAAAGAGTTTAAGGCAAGCAGGGGCTGGTTTGAAAAATTTAGAAAGAGAAGTGGTATCCATAGTGTTACAAGGCATGGGGTTATGTGATGTGATTATGGAAGGGGACTCCCCTTCCAAACAGTAACTCCTCTCCTCCTCCCCCCTCCTCACCATCTTCCATACGCCTACAGCACTCGACAGCAAGGTAAGTAATAACTGGAACACAGTTTTGTAGGTTTATTTAGATGAATTAGGTAAATTAGGTATAAAAATTTAGTTTGATGTGGGGTTTTTGGGGTAGTCAGGAACGGATTAATTCATTTCCCTTTATTTCTTACGGGGAAATTAACTTCGGAATGCGAGTTTTCGGAAGGCGAGGCGTCTCCAGGAACGGATTAAACTCTTATTCTGAGGTATGCCTGTATCTGCATTCGTGTTCACCATAACGAACCACTAAGTTGGCATGCTGAGTGGCAGTGGCAGCCCGCCACTGGCTGCTACTTCCTCCCTCCCTCCCTCCCTCAACTTACCTGACTCACCCACATTCTCCTCCCACAATACTGTTTTTGCTTTTATTCACTATATACAGACATTATATGTAAGTATCTACATGTTTTGTTCACCACAACTGTATAACTAAGTTGATATAGTTAGTTCAGGCACTAAGAGACGTCGCTACACACGGTCAGCTGGCGGCTGCTTCCCTCATACATTCAAGGTCAGACACACTAAAATTTCACCCCCAACAATACTGTTTGTGGTGTTATTACCCTATATACAGATGTTATATATAAGTATCTACATGTTTTGCTCACCATAACTGTTCAACTAAGCCGGTATAATGCCCAAAGAGTGGCCACCCCTACCAACATGACAAATCATGCAGATGTTGCCACACCCATCACCAAAATCACACCCATGACCTGATATTTAACACTTTCACGTTAAAATGACACTAAAATATGTCATCCAATTGCTATTCATAAACATTCATGTGTTTATTACTGTTGCACATAATCTATTAAAAGAGCACTTGTATTTTTGCCTCTGTTCTCAAGAGAATTCATTTGCGAACATTTTGACATCAAATGTGTAGATATAACCCAGCAAATAAACTTAGAAAAATGGAAATGATTGTAAATGTTTCAAACTTGGCTGAGTGGGATCCACAGTCCACCATATTTACAGCCGGGAATGTGCGGAGAGAAGAATAATATATTATACATAAACTTAATTTTCGCATCTATTCTCTAAGAGCATTTGTGAACATTTTGACACCAGATTTATATAATAACCCAACACATTAACATAGGAAATGCATTTTAATAACTAAGCGGTGGCCTGGAATATTTGTTTGGGAACTCTGGAGGAGGTGAGATGTGTGTTAATGTGTGAATAATAAAGCTAATGTGTTAATGGATGGGACTGGAATATTTGTGGTTTCATATGGAACTTTCAGTTTAAATACACATTTACATAATATGTTCAGTTTGAGCAGCAAGTGAATGTCAAGAGGGTGTTTGTTTGTGAAGCTTTGATTTTATGGTTTTTGTTTTTGTATTTACAGTATACAGTACAGTACTGTATTATAGAGGCTATTACCCATAGTTGACTTAGGAGACCCTTTCAGGAGTTCAGAAGCTGTTAGGGGCTCATCAAAAAACATAAACAAATCTGAAGTGTGGCACTTGTTTTAAATAGCACATAATCATAGGTTGGCCACTGTCCTATAGATCGGTGCATGAGCCAGTCTATTCCTATAAAACATGGTGAGCTTTCTAGATTTAAACTGGTCCTAAGTACCAGGCTTAGGATCAGTTTAGGACCTTAGGAGAAGACTTCCCTCCTTACCTATCACCAGCTACTGGAAGGGAGATTTCTCTTTTGAACCCTTCTTCCCTTTGATTTAAACTTGATGCAATAATATCTTGATATTTTTTTTCTTTTCACATTTGCTCTTGAAGGTATGTATGGTTGGAGGTGGCTTCCATTTTTGTTTGTATGGAAGCCTTGCCGGTCAAATGCACTTCATACTAGTACAGTATTTGGCTTATCCTTCTGACTTGTTGGCATTTCCAACTCCTATCTATGTTCTTTTGTCTTATCCGCTGTTGGAACAGGTTGTCCCTGTCCATGTGCATTTTCCCCTCACTCATGATTTAGCTGTGTAAGCTGATGGAAGGCACTATCTTCCCCCCTCTCTTTCTTTCTGTGCCCTGACTGTGACCTGGCTCTGTGGCACAACGATCTTCTGTCCAACCAAGCAGCTGCAGATCATGGTGCTACTTTTGATGCGGTAGGTGCTAAAGCTCACTAGGGTGGATCAATTAGCATTAAGCATAATCACTTACATTGTTGTTAATTATACAAAAAGTTGGTGAGAATTCCATGGATAGTGTTTGTGACCCTAGGACCGGGCCGCGGGGACACTAAAGCCCCGAAATCATCTCAAGATAATTGTAATTGTAATTGACCCCTATTCTTAGTGTGTTAAATATACGTTGTGTGTATAGGTATATAGTGTGAACCCTGTGCTCACATTGCTTGTGTGGATGTGTGCTTCTACATTTACATATGCATGTAAAAGATAAGAGGAAGGATGGTTTGGAAATACAGGCAATTGGTATAATAAGGTAAATTACAAAAAGTTAAAAAAATTATTCAAATTCAGTAACATTGCATTCCTTCACAGCCGCGATAGAAAACATCGTCATCGAAGTGACAGATACGTGGAAGATAGAAATCCCAGAGATTTTGCAGATCTCCTTGAACGGGAGAAGTACAGAATTAAGAAAGAGAAGAAAAGTGAAAGCAGGTATGGACTGAGATGTATTTTCATTTTCAAGTTTTATTTAGAATACAATAATCCTATTTCTTTTGGCTTGGTATATTATCCTTCATTTTTCCCATAATATTCTTCATTATCCCATAATACAGTACAGTATATACCCTTTGTGTCATGTAGGGAAGTAAGTTTTCTTAACTTCGTACCAGTGAAGTACATAGTCAAGATAAATTTTGATTCACAGCTTTTTAAAGTTTGAAAGTCAATCAAAGCAAACTGAGTAGTGATGCACCCAGACCCAGAAGTGGAGAGATGGACTCCAAGAAGTAATGCTCCTGGCCCACAAGCACCTTGTAGATTGTATGTATAACCTAGGTAGGACAGTCGTATTCATCATTGCTACAGTTTTTTATTTTTATACTGGGTTTTTTATAAGTTCATCTATGTTAATGGAGTTATATGCCCAAGATATAGTATGATTCAGATTGGTAGTGGGTGTTAAGATTTAAAATAGGCAGATGGTAAACTTGATTTGATAGGCAAGCAAGCTGTTTCACTCTGTCTACCTGTGATGGGTTTTGTCAATGTTGCTTCCTGTGAAGACAGCTTTTCTGGCGTAGTTCTCGTGGCACTACCACCCCATGCTGCATGCCTCCACCTTGTATATAATTGGTATGGGTGAAGTCTCTTATACTTTTTGGGGTTGGATTTGTCATTTTCCTAAGGTTAAGCAATTTTTTATCTTTGGGCTTATATTTCACTAGAGACTCTAGTCTATGGACATGTGATGGAGTTTTGTACTTCACATGTTTTCATTTCACGGTGCCACATTGGTTCATGGTCATACTCTTAACAAGGCTTCTCTGTTGGCCTTAGTCCCTGTGCATCATGTTAGGGAGCTTTATGCTGTGTTGGAAATGCAAATGCTTTGTTTTTATGTCTAAGGATAATTTTTTTGGGGTCCATCTGGCCTGTTGTCCATCACACCCTCTGTCCAGTTGCAGCTCTGCCTAGTTATTTACGAGTTCCAAGATGTTTCTTCAGCTCTGGTACTTTCTTTACAATCATAGTTTGCTACTGCAATGTGCTGTACCAAGGCTTTGCTGTCACAGTTGATTCACACAACTGTTAAATGGTATATTTTAGCTTGTATTTGACTTTTGCTGTGGGTTACCCAGCACTACAGTTCCGATGCTGGACACACTTGTAGACAGTGTTGTCTTTACCTCTGTGCTAACCTAATGTTTTCATTGTTCAAGCATTTTCATTACTTTTTGTTTTGATGTTCATTATTTTTTAGTAGAAAATATGTCTGGCAGCACGTCATTGACATAAGTGTGTTTTGAGTGTAGGTGGTAAAAATGGTGTGTGTCTTGTATATTAATGAATTGGATTAGCAAGTTTTCAATAATAGGGTGAATTCAAGGAAAGGTAAGTAAATATTAAAAAAAAATTATTTTACATTTCATATATTGTATTTTATATAAATTCTTATTTATTTATTATTTGTGTGTAAGCATTTGAAACTAATATCATTTGAGGTAAGGAAAAAATGTTGGCAAGTGTAATAAAAAAAGGTTTGGTAGAAAATATGCATTGTTTATGGAAATAAGAAGTTTGAATCTTTTAAGTTACACTACTTGCCTAGTTGTACTTGCGGGGGTTGAGCTTTGGCTCTTTGGTGCTGCCTCTCGACCATCCATCAACTGGTGTACAGGTTGCTGAGCCTATTGTCAACTGTCATCTTTACATTTCAAACTGTTTATGGGGTCTGCCTTCACCCATTTATTCTGTTCCATTCCAGTGCATTCCATTTGTTAACTACTGTGACACTAACATTCTTTTTAATGTTCAACCTGTTTACCCCCCCCTCGTTGGTGTTCTACCTGTGCTAAATATACCTGTACTGGAATGTAGGAAGATATAAAGGTTCATGGCACTACTAGGTAAGCACTTCAAGCCCCACACCTAGGGAAGAAGAGAGACTTAGACGACTGTCATGCCCTTCAAGATGACTTTAATAGAATAAGTGTATGGAGCAACAGTTGGCAAATGGAATTCAATATATGCCATGCTATGGAATGTGAAATATGACAAATTGGGCCATATACACTATAAATTATGTGGAAAGAAATTACTAGAGATCTAAGGGTGGTTCTGAATAGTAGGTTGTTACCTTAGGACCACATGAAGGATATTGTACAAGGAGCCCATGCAACTTTAGAGGCAATTTTAAATTCATGGATGGTAAAATAAAGAAAGTGTTCATGACTTGAGAGACCATAACTAGAATATGCAGCAGATGTATGGTGGTCACATTTCAAGAAGCATATCAATAGACTGGAAAAGGGGCAAAATGTACTGCAAAATGGCTTCCAACTGAAAAACAAGAGTTACGAGTAGAGGCTTGAGGACCTGCCAAAGCCAAATAGAGGATGCCAAAGCTAGAAGATAGTAGAAAAAGGGGGGGGGGGATCTGATCACTAAGTACAAAATAATAGTAGTAGGCATCCATCAGTCTCGGAGACTATGGAGTTGCACTCTGGTTGTCGGTCTGGAGTGGTTTCTCCGGGGTGCAAAGCCAGAGTAGATTGGTGCACGGGGAAAGCTGTCATCCAAGCAGCAGGCCCCCCCCCCCCTCTCCACAGCGCCGAAAGTCTCCAATGGAAAGGCAAACGCCAATACGATTGGTTATACTCCAATACTCTAAGCCCAGTCTGATGTTCGCCTGGCCTTCCGGAGGCAAGATGGTAACCCCAGGATGCTCCACACCACACTGATTACTCTCTGGCTGCCAGACTGTGAAGCTAGCTAAGATTACTCCGCCAGCCTCTCTGGCTGCTAGATTACTAAGCAGGGTTAATTGAACAAACTAATCTTATTTACTGGCCACCCAGATGGTTGAATTCCTATTGAAACTGATGGTAATTCTATAGGCATCTTGATCCCGGCTATTTCCAATTACAATATTGAATAGTGACCTGAATTTATAATTTATGAATTAACAGTCGGGAAAGTTGTGGTCTCTCCAGCCGCATGACCTTGACCCAGATTAGGTCGAAGACGAGCTGGACGAACTAGTTCCCTTTCTAAATGACGTCACTGTCTCTTTGGTAGCATACGAACCTTGATCTTTCCTCTACATTCATGTTAACCTAATATCAGTACTTGAACCAGACTGGTTATTACAACAATTACTGTATTGTTTGATTATTCATCAATGTTGAATTAATACAAGTGAAACGCAGCCATTTTGTCTGCTATCCTCGCTAATCCCTTAATGTCTGGCAAGTGACCTTTTTGCTACTAACCAGGTAAAAGTACCCTTAGACTCAAAGCTTGTGTTCCCTGTAAAATCATATGATTCTGAGATGTATAAACTTCTGAAACAAGCTTAGCTTGTTACAGTCGCAGGAACTGTCAGAACGAGGTTGAAGGCAACATAGAATACCCCCATAGTAACAGAAATTAAGAAAACCGAGACAGAGGAATTCTTGAAACCTGTAACTCCCACTCGCCATGCCACCATACACCCACGTCACCCCCGCCCACCAATGCCCACATGACACCCACCCACCTGCATAACCTCCAGCCAACATACGCCCACTCCACTAATGTTTATCTCTGTGGGATGTGCCTGGCATATGGTTCAGGAACATGTGATTTAAATGGCAGCTGTCACATATTGTATATATATCAACATGCAAATGTGTTTGGACTCTCGTATTTTAGTGTAATGTGTTACATGCTCAGTGTGCATTTGTATGTCTTGGGTAATTCAATTGATGTTAGGTTTGTGTGTGTATCTCACTCGGTATATATAATTTTTGCAATGAATTGCTATACAAGGTCACCATAGCATCTACCATTATATAGTACTGTACTTTATTATCAATAAACTAAATCGATGAGATTTCTCTGTGCAAGTGAAGGAATGAAAAATTGCATGTAATGATTCTGTTGTTAAACTACCCTATTTGTATTAACAATGTCAAATTACCCTATTTTTAACAGTGTCAAGTTGACTAAGAGCAGCCTTACCACAGCCACTCCACAAATGTGAGTACAGTAACATCTCATCTGGGAGTGCATATTATAATATTGATGGTGGGCAGCTGCTCCTTAGTAAAATAATCTGTTGCTCTGGCAAACGTGACTATACCTTCCTTAGCAAGGCTGTGACATGCTGAATCTTGGAGTGATTCAACAACATGGTGATGTCTACACACATTGTTGAGAGGGAATGATATATGTACAATAATATTATTGAAACTTGCAGTCAGTTCATAATAATGAAGTATGCTGCCTTTAATGCCTTACTTCCTCTGGTTCCTCTCCATTGTTTGTGATGGCTGGCTCTGTATTCTCCCACCATTTAAAATTCTTTCCAGGGTTTATTAGGTAACCCCAAAGAATTATTTGTTGTTTTCAAAGTTTTGTTGTCCATGTGATACTTGGTGTCGGTATGCTTGTGGGTTGTCTTGTGTGTCAGTACAGAGGTTCCTATTATTATTGGGCCATATTATCCCTTGGTGGTAAATTTTAGAACCTGTTTAACACCATGTATGGGTTTGTGTAGAGGAGGAGAGAAACCTTGAAGGATGTTAAAAATTAATACTAATTGAAATAATTTTGACACAACCTGACTGACTGGCCCAGTTTCTGGTTGTTTCGCAGATGAGAAACCAAAATGTAACTAAATCACTGTTTCTCTGTAGGGACTGGTTGTGCAGTGACTTCTCATGGGCATGTATTCACCTAGTTGGGTTTGCAGGGGTTGAGCTTTGTTCTTTCGGCCCGCCTCTCAACTGTCAGTCAACTGTTTGCTAACTACTATTTTTTTCCACACCACACACACACACCCCAGGAAGCAGCCCGTAACAGCTGACTAACTCCCAGGTACCTATTTACTGCTAGGTAACGGGGGCATTCAGGGTGATAGAAACTTTGCCCATTTGTTTCTGCCTGTATGTGTATGAGTTGTTTGTCTCAACATTTTAACCATCTCAGTTATCATAGTAAGCCTATCTATTCTGGTTCAGTTTGTGCCTTCATAGCTGTGGGTATTCTGTTTTTGAGTCTTCTACGTCATTTGCCATTTGTTGGAACTTTGCTCCATGGTTGTAGTCTTGTGTGTTGTTGCATAGAGTACATCTAATTATACCACCATGTATGCACACTTGTCTGTTTCACCTAACTCAAACCTTGGCACTAATATTGCTGTAGTTTTTCTGGGAGGGCCCCCTCGGTTCCTTCCTGGGCTGCCCCCCCCCCCCCCCCCCACCTCGTTAACTCCAAACCTAACATATCCCATCATGCCCTGGTCGCAAGTGCATGTTGGGTACCAGGGACCAGATATGCAGGATACTAAATCAAACCAGGCCAAGAAAAAAAACTCTAGAAAGGTAGAGCACTCCAAAGCAAACAACTGTATCACGAAACATTGGTAATCGTGGCAAACTTGTTAGCCAATCTCAACTGCTAGTTAGTTACTACACACTATCATGATAGCAGTCCTGGAAACCCAAGGCTCCAGTCACCTGGCCATCTCAGTCATGCATCTGGTGTGACTTTAGTTATCTTTACCTGGCGATGATTTTGGTGCTCAACGTCTCTGCAGCCTGGTCCCCGACCAGCCCGCCTTGCACCTCTTGCTGCTTTCTCTCTTTTTGTCTCTTGCTTTTCTTACTTTTTTAATGTTTTCTAAATGATATTAATAATTCCTTGTACCTGTGTAATGGGGGCCAAGTTTTGACTCTGGACCCCAGTAGGCCACACAGGACTCATGACTGATGTGATGCAGTAGGGGTGAGCCATCTGAACGAGCTTCAGGGAGGCACCGAGGTCCTGCTAGAAAGAGACATTTTATTCAGTGCTGTAATTTTTTTTTTTTTTTTTTTTTTTTTTTTTTTTTTTTTTTTTTTTTGTAGGGATATATTACTGTAAGAGGTAAAAAGTTCCTGAAAGATTTTCCAATAAATGGGAGGTAACAAAGCCTTGATATTGTATTTTTGGTTGGCACAGTCTCAATCAATCTGGCATTATCAAGGTTCCACTCTTCTTATTGCATAATGGTATCCTGTAATCATACCATTTCCTGTATGATAAAGCTCCAAGCTCTGTTACTCAAGCATGGTACTCAAGCCTTGTTCATATCATGGGATATGCCAACATGGGATACTTTTATTGATTTTTCTGGTGGGATTTAACCACATTTTTATTTATTATTATTATTATTATTATTGTTGTTGTTGTGATCGTAACTTTTATAGGTTGCATTATTTTATTTTCAGTCGAGAGCGGCACCACAGAAGTCGTTCCCGTGACAGAGAGAGGCGGCATCGTTATTGAGTTTCTTCCTACCTACAGTATTTGTAAAACAAATAAAGTGGAAATAATTTATATATTTTCCACTATTAATATTTAAAAGCTCTTAGCATAGGTTGTCTTGAGCAGTTTATAATGAGCTTAATTATGAAGCAAATAAATTTATATATACTTATTTTGTAATAATTATTTTTAACATGCTAATTTTTAATATAAAAATCATGTAGCATGGTCATTTTTGGCCATGATATTGCATTTTATTTCTGCCATTGGTTTTTGTTTTGAAAAAATCCTTGGTAGAGCTATTGATTGGTTTCCATGATGTGTATAAGGATGCTGAAAAGGTACTCAATATCAGTTTTAAACAGAAATGAACAATAACAATACTGTATATCCAGATACAAGTATGAAATTATCTGTGTAAACTTATTAGACATTATCAGTTAAGGTTGAATTTGCACAATATAAATTTATTGCTTTTTTAGTGATGGTGAGTTCAAAGACTTATGGTGGTAATACCAAGCTAAAAAACTCTTGCAGATGTGATGCATTACTCACATAACAATTGTGTGCACCCACTGGGGGCTCTGTAATGCCGCCCTTGACTGTTAATGTAGTCTGCTTAGAGAAAACGAGTCCTTTAGTGCAGTTCCTTTATTTTTTGTGGAATACATATATATGAATCTTGGCATCAATACAAAACATGAAAAGGAGTTTAGTAATAACATCCTAAGTGATCAAGGCTAACAATACTTTTAACTTGGGTTTCTAGCTTTGAAGAAACACAAGATATTCAACTTAGATGTAATGACTACTACCATGACATGTGGGAACTGCGGTATGGTGCACTCTAGTTGTTTGGTTTGTTACACTGGATCAAGTGTACTTGCTAAAACATTGTTAAATATGTAGGTTAACTTAGAATATGAAGTGATGGGTAAATTATTTTATATTGTAGATATCAATTATTGAAGTTTTATACTGTTTAATGTGAAACTTAGGCTGTTCTGTGCCTCTATTACAGCTTATAATAAGCCATGCTCTTGTATCATATTTCATGGTTACAGAAATAATAATCATGCTGTATACTAATACAAAATACCAGTTGCAATATGAATAGATGTCCACAATGTATTGCAGGCGATGAGTCACAATAACGTGGCTAAAGTATGTTGACCAGACCACGCACTAGAAGGTGAAGGGACGACGATGTTTCAGTCCGTCCTGGACCATTCTCAAGTCGATTGTGACAATCGACTTGAGAATGGTCCAGGACGGACCGAAACATTGTCATCCCTTCACCTTCTAGTGTGTGGTCTGGTCTCCACAATGTATTGCATTGTGTATTATTGTCCACAATTAATGACAAGATGATATTCAGTGGATAAGCTTGTGTGTGTGAAGGAATCTAACTGTAGCAAGTCATGCATGTATTACAGGTTGTTACCATTGCTCTTCTAGAAATGATAGTGACAAAGAAAGAATGGAAATTTAAAATGTAAGAAAAGATCCAATTTTTATGCCGTGAAATCTGTGAAAGTGATTGCTGTAGTACACATTTTTATAAATATAACGTTAAAGGTCTGACTGAGAAACAGTTTTTCCCTTTGTGAAAAAGGGAATAGAAGTTCATGTCTAATAAAAAAGAATATTTGACATAATTTTGGCATTGTCACTCTTGTCAAGGATTATATAGATCAGTACAATCTGATCATAAATCTACTGATAAGCAAAACCACAATTGGCAGACATGTTTGGACATTATTAAAGTGATTTTATTGTATATTGTTAGTTTGTATTAAGTTTTCATGTTACAGGTATTCAATTATTTTTTCTTTGTCAGGTATATGTAGCTGTAGCTTTAATAGCACACACTGCCATACTGCGGCATAACTTCTTTTTTATATTTATATATGTAAATAGTATGAATATAAAAAAATCTCACTGTACTGTGTGTCATTATTAACCAAGACATCCTTTGGTAGTTGTGTTATTTAAAGTGTAAATGCTCATGTGAAGACGACATTACTGTAATACAGAAATTATAGCCTGTATAGGTTAACCACCGCACTGCACACCTGGTTTCAGCAAAAACTTCATAGTGCAATTAAGGCCATATTTTTGTTGTTCTTATAAATGTTTAGGTAAAGTTAATGTCAAAATGTTTACAAACTCAACCATTTTTATTTCAAAACAGTGATGAAAAACATTAAAATATAGCCTAATTAAAAAAAAAAAGCTGCACAGAGCACCTTGAGGTGCTCTGTGCAATGCGGTGGTTAAAGCAAACTTTGACACTGTTAGTAAATATAGTGAAACAGGTTCAGTACTTAAGATAAAATAATAATTGTTCTTAGTTTATTGGGAAAAATGGGTGATGGTTTAATTATTTTGGTGTATGTTGGCATTGATAATGGAGTTTCACTTAAGCAAATGGTATTTTGAGTAGGATATTATATAATTAAAGATTACTAGGCTGTAATGTTGCAGTCTTCAATAATGTGCAGTTTAACCTGCTAAAAGTTATTCTGTAAAATCATTCAGGTGATTATTAGCAAATTAACTGAATATTAGGAAGATTGAAAGAAGTTCAAAATAAAAAGGTTATAAATAAATAGTTCAGAATGTGATGAAGTTGAATATAATGTAGGTTGTTGTATTGTGTTTGGTTGAATAATGTGGAGGAAATGTTATTGACTTTAATGTGATGGTGTGCAAGAAAGAGAAAAGATGTAGGGAGGTGAGCAAGTGCACTAGAGGAACTTAAGGAATGTGAGCATGTAGTCTGTATAAGAATATATGGAAGATATTTTCCATGATCCTTTTTAGTGGCAGGGAAGGAAGATTCTGATTTATTTAGACAAAGTAATGACTGGTACTTTTTACTAGGTACAAGTGTGGCATTTGGTTGATTGAGACCCATTCTAATGGAAGGTAGTAATATTAATTTATAAGACAATAAATGCAACAGTGTATTGGATCATTAGCAATGCCATACTGTCAGATTTCTAGCCTATACAAATACTGTATAAACTTGACCAAGATGATGCCTTTAGTAAAGTTTTTTTCCAAGTGGGGGGAAGAGCAGTACAAATATTGCTCTGCATGCAGGATGCAAACATGTGTATTATGATGTGCATCTTGGCTTATTAAACATAAATTGCCATATTTTAGAAATATAAAGTCATCTGCTTGCAGTAAGTCATTTATTTTTTTTAAGTAGGGATGGGTCCCTTTTTAAGGTCGAGCCTTAAGACTGCATGAATGTTGTACACAAACTGTAACTTTTGACAACTGTACAGTATTGCAGAGTTTAATAAGGAAGGCAATTTTGTTCAATACAGTATTTTCATTTAACAATTTCTAAAATGTACAAAAACCTGATCCAATCAACATGTTCCTGACTTGGTTTGTATTTACAAGCCAGATTTGGGCTAATTGTAAATGTAGCATTTGATAATCATATTGCTGTGAATAATTAGTTTTGTTTTATTTTCTGTAAATATAACAAATAAATTAGTAATTTTGCTCTTTGTTTATTGTTTCATTTAAAAAATATAGATTTCAATGAAATATATTTGTCCAAACATGAATTGGTATTTTGTTGATTTTGTATTGATAAGTCATCCATCCTTATTGTCATCATTTATACTAAGCTACATTATTAAAAATAATAAATTTTGCATTTTACTTTTTTTTTTCCCTTGATACTGATATGGTTACTACTCGTACCACTTACAAACTTTGCTTTGTTTATATAAAAAAGGTATTATTTTGGTTCACGGTCTGGAATATAATGGTTCTTGTTTACTTCTATATACAGTATAAAGATATAAACAAGGATATTAGATGTATTATTGTATTTTAATAATAAATCTAATATAAATTGGTCCTTATGAAGATGTATTATTAAATACGAAAGTTCTTAGGGAAATTCATGTCTTAATCCTTCCTGTATGGTCTGACATTGTTCATCGTGTGTTACTGTTATGATATACTGTATATGCAATACGTTATTACTTCTATAGATGCAATTCAATACATTCTTCTACAATTGCATTTGGAGCTTGTAGCCAATTACTACTGTTATACATGGTCAATCCTAATGTAAAGTTTTTTTGTAATACTTAGGTATACAGCAGTGTGTTGCTACCTAATAGGTATATAGCTAATATATATTATAGCTAATAGGCTACCTATGAGGGATTACAGAGTATTGATCAGGAGCTAATTATATTAGTTCCTCCATTATCTCACTGGACACATGGTTAACGTGGAATAAGGGAAAACCGAATGTGAGTCTAGTCTGCAGGCCTGCATTAGTAAGCTTGGGTAGAGTATAAGAATAATGACAGCCCTACACACACATTGGTTCACGAGTGTTTTCAAGCTTCATTAATTTATATATAAACTAGATAAGTTAGCTCCGCAGTGCCTGAAAAGTTTGCATCATTTAAATGTTGAGTGCCCCTTGGATGCAAGTCTGCCAGCAACACATGCATTTTCCATATACTGTACTTGTATTCTTACTTGATTAGGCCAAGGATTGTTAGGAGAGGTTAGGTTAGGTTCAATATTTGCTGTGCTTAACAAAACAAAAATCCCATTTAGCTAAATTCAATAATAGGAAATGTCAACTTTTGATGATCCATCACTACATATTGGAACTTCGACCAAATATTTATTGTAAGTAGTATCATTTTAGGAGGATTAGTTGCAATATCTGAATTGTGTAATATGAAAACATTTTAAAACTGGATTTGCCTCTGAGCAATTCATCTATACCGCCTTCAAGAAGTGTACCATGGTGGCAGTTCAATTGTAGAGGGTCAATGACACCGACTCTGACCCACTTTTCAAATACGAGCAGGTTGCACTGCAGCAGCCTCCAGGTTATACAAAGACAGGCACATGTACACACACTTCTAGTTTAAGGGGAGGGAACTATCGGGGGAAAGCGCCAAGCCATTACGACTATACAGCACTGGGAAGGGGGAGGGGGGGAAGAGGACGAATGGTGCCCAACCACTTGGACGGTCTGGGATTGAACGCCGACCTGCATGAAGCGAGACCGTCGCTCTACCGTCCAGCCCAAGTGGTGGTGCATGGCAGAAGAGCAATCACTGACAATCAAAGTGCAGAAAGCACGAATTTAAAGGGTTATGATATGTTTAGAACCGAAAACTATATGTACGGACAACATAAAACATCCACTAAACACCTGTATTCACCTAGTTGTGCTTGCCGGGGTTGAAGCTCTGCTCCTTCAGCCCGCCTCTCAACTGTCAATCGATCAACTGTTATTAATTTTTTTTCCACACACACACACACACAGGAAGCAGCCCTTAACAGCTGTCTAATTCCCAGGTACCTATTTACTGCTAGGTGAACAGGGTCATCACGATGAAAGAAACTCTGCCCATTTTGTTTCTGCCATCACCGGGCTCGAACCCGGACCCTAGGATTACGAGACCAGAGCGCTGTCCACTCAGCTATCAGGCCCCTTTGTGTGACATTGTAAGTGCCAGAATTAGGCTGGGATATCGACATCAGTGGCAGGTGACTACAGGAAATGAATCCCTCAGCGATGATAATTCTAATTGTAAACTATAAGAAAAATAGTTAAGTCACTCTCCAGCACCTGTGGAGGTGTTATCTGTTATCAATGATTTCAGACAAATGGTATGAAATACTTTGATCTGTGTAAGTACTTCATACACTCACAAATATTAAAAGATATTCTTGTGCTCTACCTAGAGTTTGCTAGTGCAGGCTAATAGATATGACTCATTTCATGTTCTCTTCTGATTTCATGAATAACTAACATTTCTGTGAGATGGGCGGACATTAGATTAAATCATAGCTATCTTTTGATCTACACTCTATAAGCCTTCATATAAAATAGGGTAGGAGCATATACTGCTGTGTATACCTAAGTTTAATAGAACAAATCGATATCCTCACCACCCACAAGTCACCCTGCAAAGTTTAATGAAACTAGCCCAAAGCTTCTGACCTCTGACCTTAGGTTGACAAGGAATTAAATAGCGTTTTATTTTACATATACTGTATTGATATATCTGATTTTAATCCTGCCATAGATATGTAGAGTCTACATTTGATAAGAATCGTCGTAATTAATGTTTTCTCCGGCGTATGGAAATTCAGTTACATTATTTATGAGCAGGTACATGAGAACGTGCCTAGGTATCCTGTGTTTGTTAAAAGTTTGTAGTGTAAAGGGGACTATACAGTACATATAGCTGGCCCGTCTGGAGGTGGCATAAATTAAATATTGCCTGCTTTAAGTCAGCATAGAATGACATAAAGAATTACCAGTATTATATAACTAATTGAGATTACTAGCCATATACCGAGGGCCGGAGTGCTCCGTACCAAGGCCAGCTGACTCTCACACCCAGCCATCTCCCAGGCTCTCACTCTCTGACACACTTATGTTTCTTCATGAGGGCCGTTTGTTTCAGCGAGTAGAGGATTAAGGGTGTGTTAAGGGTGAGGTATTAGTAATGTGTGGTGAATGGGAGGAGGTGAGAGGGACGCGGCGCGCCAGTCTTGTGTCAGTGGTCGTGACGTGGCCGCCATCACGCATGCGCAGTCAGTCGGTACGTGGCACTCACACGGCAGCCACGCACCGCACCATTACTGCCTCCTCCTCTCCCCTTACAAGATTATAGAGCGTGGTGAGTAGTGTGTGGAGGTTATGGTGTGTGGTGTGAGTGTGTGAGGGAGGGTAATGAGGCAGCAGAGGACGGGTGATGAGGGGCAGACGGAGAGGCTGCGGGTGACACTTGGGGGACCTCCACCGCCCCCCTCCTCCACCCTCACCACCCTCACCCTTCACTAACTTCATCAACACCATCAACTCGTCTACAGTTAAAGCACTCGTTTATCCGAGTGTGTTTAGGTGCGTGTCTCCGTGTGACGGGGCAGCTGTCACTGTCACTATAGAGGAGGTCACTGTGTGGGGTCACAGCTGTCATGACCTATGTTTACCTTTGGTCTGGCCTCGTAACATAAGGTGCAGGTGTTACACACGCCTCACAAGCCCTCACTACAGTGTCTCCCAAGGATGTAGTTGGTGAAGCTGAGGCATAATTATGGTGACAACTGGTTAATATGGACACTAGCGGAGGTCTGGAGGTGGTGGCAGCCACACAGCTGACCAACTCTCCCTCCAGATTTCGTTACTGTGGTGTGTGTGGGGGGGTCTGGGTGAGCTTTACCTGACTTTACCTGAGGGGGCCACAATGTCTCTAGTGGTCACGACATAGTAACCCCCCCCCCAATTGTTCCTGTAATCTACCTCTGTCCCTCCTACTCATTTATATTTGACATGCTAATTACCTCTCTGAGGTAATTACTGAAGTGTAGTTACTGGATGAGAGCCATGCTTGTGGTGTCCCGTCTTCCCAGTACTCTATGTAGTATAACGCTTTGAAACTGCCGACTGTTTTGGCCACCACCTCACTTATTGTTCCAACTGTCTACCACTCTGCAAAAGAAACTTTCTAAATTTTGTTTTGACAACTATTCTCCCTTGGCTTGAATCTGTGTCGTCTTGTTCTTGAAGTTGGTGGTCTCAAGGTGTAGTGAGTGGGCTTCTACTCAACACAGGACTGTCTTACCATTATACTCTGGTACTTCTGTTTTGACTGCAGTTGTGGTACAGTATTTGCCTTTTGGTGTGGCAATGTTTGCTTACTGCGTTAAGCACTGGTTGGTGTAGCCAGTAACTGAATGTATCTGCACTGCTTCTGTGCATCTCTTATGTAAATATCAAAACATTCTCGAATTTTAAAGCCTAGCTTGAAAAAAAAAATCTGGAAAAAAAGGGAAGGGAATCTTTGACAAGCTGCTGGCATCCTGTAATCATTGAGGCCACTAGAGAAAGTGGCCTTGAGGCAAGATTAAAGTACTTGGGGACCCAGAAGTAAACAGTGGTTTATTGGTTTTGGGAAAATCATGAGGCAAAGGTAACCAAACAAAATGGCTTTTAGTAACCAGTATAAGGCGTAATAGAAATCTAATGGTGTGGTGTCCTTGATGGGCCATACTTGGGCACCTTGTATATGACAGATTGACTATGTATGACTTGGTAGATGTAACTGACCTATGGTTGCATTTTGATACTAATTATGCCAATAGTGGACAAATTTGAAAGTTTTAGCTTGGAAATGACACTACTATAAACTAATTTACAAATGTGTACTATATAATTAGGCTAAAGTTTCCATTTTTCAGTCATTTAAGATGCACTGTGGCAGAAAATTAGTTTCCCTTTTGGTCATTGGTATTTTTCTCCTATATATACTTTGATTTATGGGTTACATACCCAGTGCTGTAGCTGCCCCTAACCCACATCACCACCACCAATAAGAACACATTTTTGGGAAAGATCTAGTTTGCACTGAAATATTTATCTAAAGGGGCACCAAAATAACAGACATAATGGTTAGTGCCTCATCTGCTCGCCTTGCATGTAAGAATGACCTGGGTTAAAACCTTGAGCAGAGTGAGATGACTGTGTATGGTTCATTCCTTGATTGGCTTTTGTAGCAGTGGTCTATATCCTCATTGTAAGGGCACGAGCTTGTAAGCCGTACCCTAGAATACGAACACGTGAAACCCTGTCCTTACTTGCAGTAGATATGTTGCTTTAAAACAAGGATGTAGGACCACTATGCATTTATAAACACTTCAGACACGAGTAACCACGTGGGGCCAGTAACATATTTTTTAATTGACAAGACTTTATAATCAATTAGTGTGTGCATTGCATTTATTAAAACACAGGAAGGGGATAATACACTAACAGGGAATAATTTCTCGCTCGCCAGATTAACAATTAAAGTTCCAGTCACTCGGATATAATGCAGGTCAATAACCTCGGTGAGGTGGACACTCGGCTCGCACCACTCGCCCTGTATGTATAGAGTCTCGGCCCTCTCTCCCTCGTGGAGTGCAGGGATGCTCCTCTCACAAAAATGCACTGGAAAACTTGACACACAAAATCATACACATTTACTCATACTCGAGTTTATATTTTCCCTCTGGTTCGGCTCATACTCCAGGTTCTGACAAGACTGGAGTTGTTCTATGGCAGGGTTCTCTTATTGGCTCCCATTTGGATAACGTAGCAATGGTTGGAGCCAGTAAAAACTGCATTGGGTCAGTAAAAATTTACTGCATAGACAACCAGAACATCCCAATTATGTTGACCACATGGATCATTGCTTGCACAAGCAAGAGTTTGTAGCAAGCATGCTTACATGAAAGCTGTGCAAATGAAAAGTCAGTTGTGTGAAGTCTTTGCTGCTGTCATAAAGTAATGTCTGCCTAAAATGTCATAAGTGGATGGATCTCAATTTACTGTTTTTTTTTCAGGCTTGGTAAGAGAGCCATGCTTCATGGACAAGCCCCAACCATGGTGAATCAAAGGCTTCCAGGTGGCATGCTTCCTCAAGGTCCACCAGGACCTCCTGGAGGTCAGTGAAAATTGTATTTGTATAGTACCCCACAATTTCCAAATTAAATCACAAAGGTGGTATGCTATAGTGTCTTAAGTCATTTGGTTTCATTCTATAAATCTTAATACCTGTATCCACACTCCCCCCCCCCCCCCTTTCCTCATGCCCTCCCTGTCCTTACATCCCTCTGCCTCTTCCTCTTAGTCTCTAGTTAATTATACAAGAATGAGTTTCAATTGGGTTTATTAAATAAAAACAATTAAGTGCCTCAGGGTAGCTCATGTAATGTGTATCCTCTTTAATGTTATAACCTAGTATTAATATTGTTTTCCCTTTTTTTTGTACCGGCATTTCATGTCGAGTGGAAAACATAATAAAAATGTTATTTCTAACAGTTGTTTTTCTTTAGATCTGTGTGTACTGTACATCATTTGATTTAGCTAGGTAACGAGTTCTTTGTTTTACAAAGTATTTGGCATGTGGCAATGCTTTGTATTCCCTTGGTAAGGCAGATTTGCAGGCATTTAGTGAAATATAAGAGGACATGCCAGCCAGTTTTATAACCCTGGCATTACTGTTCATCTCCAAGTAGTTACTGAACATATGGAGTCTTTTTGTGGGTTGTAGAAGTTTTTAATTTTTCCAGTCATACAATCTGCAGAATTCTTGTATTGAATACTATATTAAGGTTTGGAGAATTTATATGTAACACACATCTGAAAGCTGAACTAATAGTTCAATCCTTTGTTCTGAGCAGGTAAAACAGCAACTGTCAGATACAATTGAAAGTTAGAAGACAATAAAAAGTAAAGAAAATGTTCAAACATTCACACTGTTGCTCTCTAAAGTAATACCTCATTTAACTCCATTGGACAGGATAATGAAGTAAGGGCAGGTCAAGATTTTGTGCAAGTAACCTTCCACATGTCCTTGCAATGTCAAGATAGTGCTCGATAGGTGCTGGAAACATTACAATAATTCAACCTTGAATAGCTACAGGAGGGGAATTCATGAAACCAGGCTCTTTGAAGTTCTTCATTGCTTTGCAATTGACTACCAATTGAGTGCTTTTGCTAACTAACAATGGGTCAGTCAGAAGCTTGGGGTCTGCGTAGGGTTATCCCTCCCCCCCCCCCCCCCCTCCCCAAATACATCTGATGAACCACCACTTCTTCCATCAACCAACTGCAAGCTGGCAGCATCAGCACAACAAGGTTCCTTGACTTGCTGCACATTCTTCCAGAGATTCATGGTAGTTGGGCAGGCATGGACCAGTTTTCAATTACAATAACTTGGTTTCATCCTTTGAAAGTTTTTATAGTGGTCTCATGCTTGCTCGTTTTATAATGTTTAATGTTTCTGTCATTGTATGCCATGGGTTTTCTATACCATTTTGTGCTTTTAGTTCAGATTCACTTATCTCATTGAAGTGTGTTTATCATGAAACGAGTATTTTTGACTGCATGTTATTTATAGATGTTTAGTCACTACTTCATCTTTGTGCAAGGATCTGTTCTGATTACCTGCTAGGTTACACCCTGGAATAGTTTTGTGGTTGTTTTACATTACTTTTGGTCTTAAGAATATCTTGAATTTCGTTGTGATCTGGTAGACAAGGTAAAGCTAACAGATACTGTTGCCCAGAAAGAGCCTTGGCATCCAGACCTTTTGTTCTGCTGTCCATGGAGTATCTGGTGACAATTTAACCTATAAATTTCCTTAGGTGTGTGGCTTTGTTAACCCTGGCAGTCATCACTTCTGCCTCTTGCATTCCCCTTGTTGGTATTAGAATTGATTTCAGTCTGAAATCAATTTAGTCTGTCATTTGTTATACCAATTTTTATCCTTGTGTTCTCTTAGGTGGTGGTGGTGTTGCAGGTGTTGGGTAAAATGTAGTTGGTCCTTTATTAAACCTGGTGTTAGCTGAAGACTGCTACTCTTTCCTTTTGGAAAGGTGGTACATAGTCAGCATTATGACCATTATGAGTGGTCATATTGCTGGCTTATTTGACATTTACATGTCAATATAAACTGGGGAAGTCAACCTTAGCCTTTTGAGTTCTTTATTTAATTTAAATTATATATATTGTGCATTCTGAAACAAGAATTGATGCTTATATTAGCTGTTCTTCATAGCACAGATGGAGGCCTATGTAGCCGTTTGAGAAGGTGGAGTAATTCAAAATACCCAGAGCAACTCGCCATGTTAAGGCCAAGACATAAATCCTTCCTTTATATCGACTAGATTGACCCAGGTCTGGAATGAAAGCCCAGGCAGCCATGGTGGGAGGTCAGTGACATTCCACTCAGCCACCTTGCTTCCAGCAGAGTATTTACACTAGTATTTAAGAAACAATTTCAGGACATATCAGTTTGGCTACTGGGTGTCTAGTCGTGGCAGGTTTCACTGCAGAATTATATTGAAGAAAATATATTAATTAGATAAAATATTGGTACTTGTTACTTAGTTCAGCATCCTTATAGGTGTTTTGCAAAAGAAAACCATATACAGTAAGGCCAGTAGATGTTGCCCTCTTAGTAAATATAATCAGATTTTTCAGGCCCAAATATTTTTTAAATGCCTTGGTGGATTTAATTTATGCAGTACTTAAAACACTTCTGCATTGATGCCATACAATGCAGAAGTGTTTGTGGGCTGTATATATAGCTCCTTAGAGTATATTTTGAATGTTTTTATAAGTTGTTTACTAGTACAGTACAGTATTGCGCACAAATTGCCTCCCTAACAAAGCAAATGGGGTTTACCCGAGTTACCTGGGGGCCACTAACCCTAGTGGCCTTAATGAGGACAGGAAACTGGCAGCTTGTCGAAGAACTCCCCACCCCATTTGCCTTGATCTTTTCTAGTTAGATTTTAAAAATTAGCAGTTCTGGCAATTACGGCTTTGGAGGGTAGGTGGTTCCATGTGGTTATAACCCTGTGGGTTAAAGCATCCCCTGTTCTCAGTCCTACATTGTGGCTTATTGAGCTTGAAACTGTTGTTCCTTGCTTGTGTTACATCTGACCTTTTGAATAGTCCAGATCAACATCTCTTTAACTTGTTCAGTATTTTAAGTTTCGATGAGATCCACCTTGTCATGCCTGGTTTGTGGTGGTGTTAGCCCTGTGGCCTTCAACTGTTCTTGATACAAGAGATGACTTGGGTCTGGAATGACTTGTTGCCCGGTGTATCACTTTTTACAGAGCAGCTGTGTCTTGAAAATGAGTTCACCACTCCTCATGGTCTCTATACAGTAATCCAAATGGGGGGTGCACCAGACATTTATATTTGAATCATTAAATTTTTTTCCTTAGCCCTTAAACTGCGCATGGCGTATATATACGCCCTGAGTAACATGTCCCATGGTGCGCATGGCGTATATATACGCCATAGGGTGCCAGGCCTGATTCAAATGGCCCGCGGCTACACGGGGTTCACAGTAGCTTCCTCAGGGCTCTTGTAAACAGATGCCATTTTAAAAAAAAATCGTGGGCAATATTCTCAGGTGTGAGAGGCACAGTACTGTTGGAGCAACCAAGGCCGGCGCACGCAGCATGAGCGAAAAGCATTGATGTTCAGCTTGTGACCACAGCATCGCCGAAAAATGTCAAAATAAATATATAATTGTTATTATTTAGCGATGACAATATTACAGATGACCAATGACTGTGATATAAATAACCAGGGTTGTGATAATAGCACGATTGTTGTAATAATTAGCGCTGTGGGAGGAGTGATGCTGAGAGACGGAGGGAGACAGCATCGTTTACTGACTGTATGGCCACCTGTTATTGTTTGCATTCACCATACCCGCTCAGTGGTTCTCTATGGTGAACACGAATGTAGATACTTATATATAATGTGTGCATTAGTGTAATAACAGCAAAAGGATTATGCTGGGAGGAGCCATATGGGTGACGGAGGTGACGTCGTCTGCACGATTTGTCTAGCTGTTTAGAGGGTGGCCACTATGCTCTTTGGGCACACTACAAGCTTAGGTGTACAGTTACGGTGCATAAAACATGTAGATATTTATATATAATATGTGTATATAGGGTAATAACACTGCAAAAGGTATTGTTGGGGTAGAAAGTTTAGTGCGTGTGACTTTGAAAGAGTGAGGGAGCCGCCAGCCGCCATCTGTGTATAGCGACGACTCTTAGTGCCTGAACTAACTATATCAGCTTAGCTATACAGTTGTGGTGAACAAAATATATACATATATATAACATCTGTATATAGTGTAATAACACCACAAATGGTATTGTTGGGGGAGAAAGTTTAGTGCGTGTGTTGAGGGAGTGGCAGCGAGTGGCTGGCTGGTGTGTGGCGGTAACTCCTCGTTGCTTTTCGACTCTCAATACCAACTTAGTGGTTTGTTATGGTGACCAAAACATGCCAATACTTATATATAACCTGTGTATAGAGTGTAATAGCAGCAAAACTATTTGTTTATAGTTTTATAAACATAATAATTGAATCACTAATATGCACATCATACTTTTGAGTATAGCGATTATTAACCACTTTTATTATATAAATATATTACAATACACACTATTGAATAATATTACTGCAAAAATTTTTAGAAAAAATCAATCGGAGACATTGAAACAATTAGGTAATAATATCTTTGTGGCAACTCCTATCTGTCAACGCGGGTGACGCTGACCGGGTCTGACGACCGCTCTGTCAACGCCCACTTTTTGCCAGACTTCCTCGGTCAATTGCGCCCAAAATATGTCACTTACGATTTTTTTTTATTTTTTCCGTGCTCAGGGGGGACAAATTAACATGTTTAGAAGACGAAAAAATTTTTTTGAATTTTTTTTTTCTTGCGCACAGGGGTGTAAATGTCCCAAGGACCCCTGAGCAGTGTAAGGGTTAGTCAAAGGTACACATGATTATTCCAAGGGTTTGATTAGCTTTTCTGACTGCTGCTCCTACCTGTTGTGCAACTTTTATCCAGTGGTGGAATTTGACTTCAAGATACTTTTTTTTAATCTGCTGTAGTCTAATGCTATTAATTTGGTAGTTGTGGCGTGGGTTGTTATGGGGGTGGGGTGCTAAGCCTCTGATCCTGGTGAAAATATGGTGATAGTGATTGTGAGTATATCAGGTGCATGAATGACAGGAGTGGCTGCCTGGGACCCTTGTATCACTGGGGCTACCATCTGGTAGAGAGCCAGTGGAGCTAACTGGCAGATTGATCTACACAATGAGCATGTTCATAGTGTGAATCATTGTTGCAAATGTTGTCCAAGCAGTTGCCCTGTTTTGGTGTGCTTTTCATTTCTTGTGCGACTTAGTTGCACATGGAATTGGCTAATATAAAATTGGAGATGAACCATTTTCAATGTTGCACAACAGGTGAGGCATGTGTATACACACCCACTTGAAGCAAACACTGGACATTGAAAAGATCAACTGTACAAGAAAATGCCCTGCCCCCTTCCTCCCCACTAGTCCCAAAGATGGCCAACACACATACTGTACAATATGTGGGAATCAAAGGGGTCCGTCTAATTACCCAAAGCTACTTAAAGCTTCCTAACAAGCTACCCAAAGCTTCCTTACATTACATTGGTAATGAATAAATGATATATTTATTCATTATAATGTTGGTGCTGAAGGTAGAACACGAAAAACACATTTCTACTCTTGAAAAAGTATAGTGTCAAAAAGAAATCGGACAAAAATGAGCTGCTGGTGACAATGCCAGTCGACAGTCCAAGCGACAATGTTGTGGAGCCACTTATCCAAGACACATTGTTGCCTGGAGAGTGTTTGCTGGCATAACAGCCTCCTGATATGGATATCTAATATTTGGATACCTAACAAACATATCCGAACCTAACTTAATAACTCTAGACAACAATATATTGTATCTTGGATAAGTCGCTCTACAACATTGTCGCTAGGATCGTCAACTTTTTATGGCCTCTCATTTCTTCTAATTTCGTTATAAACTTATATTATTTCAGAATAAAAAATGTGTTTTCCATGTTCTACCTTGAGCACCAACATTATAGTGAATAAATACAGTATCATATTTCTTTATTACTGTACTTACATAATACTAGAATGCTTTGGGTAGCTTGAAGTAGATTTGGGTAGTTTTGGGTAATTACAGACCGATTCAAAGAGCTGGTGACTACAGCCATGTCTGACACCAAAGGACTGATGATTGGTGACACGGAGAGCTAGCTGGCAGCTCTCGTAGTACTGCCAGCTGTAACTAGGGGTGTATGCCTAATGACTGGGTAGGTTGTTTGTAGAATTTGTTGTTTGTTCTGTGAACCTCATAGTTGTCTGTTTTGCTTTGCTTCCTTTCTTGGGAATTGTTTCTATGGTGACGGTGATCCTGAATTTCCTGCTTCCTGTGTTAGCCCCCTCTGTAATGGGAGCCAGGCTTTGAACTCTGGTTTCCTGTAGGCTATTAAGGACTCCTAGGATGGAGGAGTCATATATGGAGCTATCTCAGTGCAGCTAACAACAGGAAGCTGCTGTTCCACCTCTCCAGAAAAGTGTTTCATGCAATATACTGTGTCTTTTTACATTTTTTAAGATTGTATGTATATTAGTTTCTTGGTGATAATTATAAGTAGGGAATATTATTATAATAGTACAATTTTTATAATATTGTTATCATATTTTACAATAATTTAAGAATTATTATACTCTTATGTTCTTCTATAGTAAGTGGTAGATTTGTTAATTTGTTCTTGTTGTATGGCTCTTCTGCTAGATAAATTTTACTTTAAAATATACATTAATGCTACCTCCATATGGTAGCATTCTTGTAAAGCGGTAAATATTTTCATACATATTTTATCAATGATTGGGAAGAGTTTTGTTAAAGTGGCAGTGTGTTTCATTGACAAAGTTTGTGATAATTCTGAACAGGTGCATATAAGCCTCCTGGGATGCTAGCCCCAAGACCCGGGCCATACCAGAGTGGTCCGACACAAGTACCAGGATTGAGTCAGCAGATGGGTGGGATGAGTCTTGGTCCACCGGCTGGACCTCCACAGGGAATGATGCATCAATCTGGGGTGAGTCTTCATTTTTTGCAGTTTATGTACAGTGAATAAATCCAGTAGTTTTGAAAGTGGTGAGCAAGTCAAAGTAGTGAATATATTGGTATAAGAATTAAGTGTAAAGAATAATTTGGTGAAAATAGCATAAAAAAGGCAAAACTTAGTTTACCAGCAAGCCAGTAAAGTATTTCACTTCTATTTTTTTTTCTCTTTAATCCATCTCTCCCTTTTTTCTTTTTCCCTTTCTTGCTCTTTTTCATTATCTTGTTCTAACCTAACTTTCTCCTTTTTCATTTAACTGTATACCCCCTTTTTCCCGCTATTTTTGTTTCACTTCCTTTTTCCACTCTTCTCCTGCCCTCCCCCCTTGTCCCTCCATCCCTCTATCCCTCTCTGCCACCCCTCTTAACCTTTCCCCTCGTATCCCCCTATCCCTTCCTCTTCCCCCTTCCCCCCCTCCCCCCCACCTAAACCTAGGTGTTTTTCTGTGGTGCTGGTCCTATATCATTTCCTTTCCCCCACTTCTCCCTCCCATTCCCCTCCCCCTCACCGCATCCACCCTCCCTTTTCCCCCCGTTCTTCAATATCACTAATTGATACTTTAACACTAAAAGAACATTTCAACAATTTTCCTCAACACTGTATAAAGTTTGAGGGAAAAAGAAATAAGTTTTTAGGAGGTTGAAGGGATATTAGGATTTTTTAATTTTGGCATGATCAGTGCCAAAATTGTAAGCATGGACAATACAGTATTCAATACAGCTTACAATACAGTATTCAAAAAAATTCATTCCAATCATAGTATTGTGAAGTGTTTGTGTGGGTGACATTGTCACTTTACATCGTTTTCTTTGACACCAATCCAGACCTACCCATGTTGGGCATGTACTCAATGGCAATTACTAGGAAAAATTTGGGTGATATAGCAGTGTCTGGCCTTCGATCTCAGACACATGTTCATTCCATTTATAGATGTAGATAACTTAAAGCATACTCAAATGCTGTTTTTTTATGCTTCCCCCATCACATAATTGAAAAAGTGGAATGGGAAAAAGATTATTATAAATTACCATGGAAATGCTAGACACAGTTGTAACTAATAAATACACTTACTTTCTAGCCACCTGTGAAATTGGCTCCAGTGTCGGCAGCGGGACCAAACTCGATGGCAAATGGTCTTCCTTCCACTGGCTCTGTAACTGGACCTCCACCTGGACCAGCAATGAGACCTTCATCTAGACCTCCACTTGGGCACATGTCTAGTCCTTCTACAGGACACACATCTGATCCTCCCACTGGTGGCCATGCTGGACAGCGACCCACACCATCATCCACTCCTGGTCACTCTCCAAAGCCACCACCTGCAACTTCTTCCATGGGATTAGGCCCTGGAGAGAATGTGCAGGCAAATTCTGCTACATCTCAAATGTCAGCAGATGTCCATACCTCACAACCAGGAATGGGGGGACAGTGTTATTCACCATCAGTTATGGTAGGGTCTTCTGGAGGGAATCAAGCAGGATTCCAGTCATCAATGGCAGGTCATCCAGGGGCCAGCCAGCCAAGCTTCCCACCCTCATCAGTGGGAGGACCCACAGCAGAATATCAGTCAAAACTTCACCCACCATCGATGGCAGGCACCACTGGGGGAGGTCATTCAGGATTTCCACCATTGTCTTCATCTGGCTTTTCTAGTGGAAATCAACAGACATACAGTCAGTCAATGGCACCAACAGGACAGTCTCAGCCGACTTATTCTCAAGCTTCATCAGGAGCAGCAAGGCCTGGCATGTCACCAGGGTCGACTATGTCACCCAGACCTGGCATGCATCCCGGACCTGGCATGCATCCCGGACCTGGCATGCCCCCAGGACCTGGCGTGCATCCCGGACCTGGCATGCCCCCAGGACCAGGTGTGCATCCCGGACCTGGCATGCCCCCAGGACCTGGCATGCCCCCAGGACCTGGCATGCCCCCTGGACCAGGTGTGCATCACGGACCTGGCATGCCCCCAGGACCCGGCATGTTCCCAGGACCCGGTATGCCCCCCGGACCCGGTATGCCCCCCAGACCCGGCATGCCCCCAGGTCCCGGCATGCCCCCCAGACCAACAATGCCCCTTGGACCAGGCATGCCTCCCGGACCAGGCATGCCTCCCGGACCAGGCATGCCTCCCGGACCAGGCATGCCTCCCGGACCAGGCATGCCTCCCGGACCAGGCATGCCTCCCGGACCAGGCATGCCTCCCGGACCAGGCATGCCTCCCGGACCAGGCATGCCTCCCGGACCAGGCATGCCTCCCGGACCAGGCATGCCTCCCGGACCAGGCATGCCTCCCGGACCAGGCATGCCTCCCGGACCAGGCATGCCTCCCGGACCAGGCATGCCTCCCGGACCAGGCATGCCACCCGGACCTGGCATGCCACCCGGACCTGGCATGCGTCATGGATCAGGCATGCCCCCCGGACCAGGCATGCCCCCCGGACCAGGCATGCCCCCCGGACCAGGCATGCCCCCCGGACCAGGCATGCCCCCCGGACCAGGCATGCGTCCCGGACCTGGCATGCCCCCTGGCCCTGGTGCTCCCTCTTCTCAAACAGGTGTGACTCCAGGGCATAAATCTGGAATGGTGCCTCCATCAAGCCAGAGTGGCCCTCCTGTAAATGGTATGCAGGCAAGGTACCCAGGCAGTGCTGGTGGTCCAGCACCAGCAGCAGCAGGTGGTTACCCCGGTAGTGGTCTACAAGGTCAGGGGCGCCGTCTCAATCCCGACGACATGCCGAGCCCCTTACAGGTGATGGAGGAAGATTCACAGTGCAGAAGCGGAGAATTTATTACCAACATGAAGGGTCAAGTGCCACCGTTGGTTACCACAGAGTTTAGTGTGAGAGATGGAGGCAATGCTTCTCCTCACCATTTGAGGTCAACAATGTACAGTATTCCCCACACTCCAGAGTTGATGAAGCAAACACATGTTCCTTTTGGTCTTGTAATTAGTCCGCTCGCAGAGGTCAAGAGTACAGATAGCCCCCTCTATATAGGAACCAGCTTGGAAACTGGACCTGTCAGATGCAACAGATGCAAGGCCTACATGAGTCCACTGATGCAGTTCATGGATGGTGGTCGGAAGTAAGTGGCTTGTAAACATTTGTGAAGTATAATTTTTGTTTATAGTTTCATTTGTTCACAAATCTGTTATATAGTTTGTAGGTCATCTTTAGAACTATAACTTCAGTGAAGTTGCTGTTTCTTGGCTTTCCAATAACTGCAGTACTATACAGGTATTTACTATTTAGAAAATTCAAATTATGGTATAAATTGAAATATGAAACAAAGAATTCCTTATCCTCCTCGATAATGATGTTCACCAAATGTGATAACCCTCTTTAAATCCTTAAATTACTTGATTCCCATTCCCTGCTCTTCCCACCTCTCATTTCCTGCCCCCCCTCCCCCCATTACCTTCCACAGGGTTTGCATGTCTGAACCCCTAACTCTCGGCCACATCCCTGGCTACTATCCCATCCCATCTCCATCGCGTCCCTGCCTCTTACCCTCTCGGTTGCGTCCCTGCCTCTTACCCTCTCGGTTGCGTCCCTGCCTCTTACCCTCTCGGTTGCGTCCCTGCCTCTTACCCTCTCGGTTGCGTCCCTGGCTCTTACCCTCTCGGTCGCGTCCCTGGCTCCTTCCCCCCCCCCCCCCTCGGTCGCGTCCCTGGCTCCTCCCCCCCCTCGGTCGCGTCCCTGGCTCCTCCCCCCCCTCGGTCGCGTCCCTGGCTCCTCTCCCCCCCCCCCCTCGGTCGCGTCCCTGGCTCCTCTCCCCCCCCCCTCGGTCGTGTCCCTGGCTCCTCTCCCCCCCCCTCGGTCGTGTCCCTGGCTCCTCTCCCCCCCCCTCGGTCGTGTCCCTGGCTCCTCTCCCCCCCCCCCTCGGTCGTGTCCCTGGCTCCTCTCCCCCCCCCCCTCGGTCGTGTCCCTGGCTCCTCCCCCCCCCTCGGTCGCGTCCCTGGCTCCCCCCCCCCCTCGGTCGCGTCCCTGGCTCCCCCCCCCCCCCTCGGTCGCGTCCCTGGCTCCCCCCCCCCCTCGGTTGCATCCCTGGCTCCCCCCCCCCTCGGTCGCGTCCCTGGCTCCCCCCCCTCGGTCGCGTCCCTGGCTCCTCCCCCCTCTCGGTCGCGTCCCTGTCTCCTCCCCCCTCTCGGTCGCGTCCCTGTCTCCTCCCCCCTCTCGGTCGCGTCCCTGGCTCCTCCCCCCTCTCGGTCGCGTCCCTGGCTCCTCCCCCCTCTCGGTCGCGTCCCTGGCTCCTCCCCCCTCTCGGTCGCGTCCCTGGCTCCTCCCCCCTCTCGGTCGCGTCCCTGGCTCCTCCCCCTCTCGGTTGCGTCCCTGGCTCCTCCCCCTCTCGGTCGCGTCCCTGGCTCCACCCCTCCCCCTCTTGGTCGCATCCCTGGCTCCATCCCCCGTCCCCCTCTCGGTCGCGTCCCTGGCTCCTCATCCCCTCCCTCTCGGTCGCGTCCCTGGCTCCCCCCCCCTCTCGGTCGCGTCCCTGTCCCCCCCCCCCCTCTCGGTAGCATCCCTGGCTCCCCCCTCTCGGTTGCGTCCCTGTTCCCCCCCCCCCCCCCTCCTCTTCACGGTTGCGTCCCTGGCTCCCCCCCCCCCCTCTTCACGGTTGCGTCCCTGGCTCCCCCCCCCCTTCTCCCCCTTCAGTTGCGTCCCTGGCTCCCCCTTCCCATCCCCGGCTTGGTCCCTTAACCCTCTTCCCTCCCATCCGCGTTTCGGTCCCAACATTGAGCAAAATAATTTTGTTGCAGATATCAGTGCAAGCTGTGCCGAGGTGTGGTTGAAGTGCCGAAAGAATATTTTTGCCACATGGATGGCCAAGGGTCACGTGCAGATAAATTTCAGCGACCAGAATTATGTTGTGGCACCTATGAATTTGTTGCGACTTCAGAGTACTGCCGGGTAAGATGAACTTCATTGTTGGTAAGCTTTGCTGTATCATTTATTGCTCGTATTACAATAGTCACAATAAAAAGGCTATTATAGTTAAATGATGGCTTTAGCACCACCAGTTATGGTTATTTGAATATGCTTAATTCAGCTGAGTTTTCAGTGAATGCTGCTTTTCATCTATGAATACACTGTAGCTGCTTAAAACAGAAATGTGGGGAAATGTATAATTATAGTACATTGGAGGTTAAGTGTAGATAGGGCATGGTCAGGGTACGTGGGGTTATGTAAGATGGGGCAATGGTAGGATCAAGTTGTTTTGATAGGCCACAGTGGACTAGTAATTTTGTGAGGTTACCCTCATTTGTTATTTCAAAAGTTTTCCATGCGATAGATTTTAATTTTTCCTATCTCTAATATACTGTATTAATAAAATATTAATAAAATATTAATAAAATAATAACATTGCTAAATCATTTCTTGGTTTTGCTTATGAACTTGGTGCAAATGGTAGAAGAGTGCCTGCCTGTTCCTGGTCAGGCATTCATTGATATGGATATCCTTTTTAGAAGACATTGTAATGTTGACCAAAAATAGATTTATCTAGTGCAGATATCTAATTTGAGATGACTTCTGTCATTTGGGCCAGTAGGATGTATCAAACCTATTTTTATGCAGCCTTAGTGTTTATTGGGTTTTGTATTTCAACTTGTCGTTTAGCAGGCTACACATTGACACGGCTCTCAATTTTACTTGCCATAGACAAGATAGAGGATGCTTAATATCCATCAGCTTTTGCTGGTCAGTTTCATCCTGGGAGATGGTTTGCAGAGTCTGTTGTGTAGGTTGTTAACACTTTTGCACTAACGCATGTCATCTGTACTCCAACAGCAAGTGTTCTCAACAATAGAAAGCCAAGAATTTAGCAATCAAATTACCTGTGTTAGCTTGACATTGAGGAGCTATCATCGGCCATCTGTTTGCTAAGTTCTTGGCTTTCCATTGTTGAGCTGTTATATTTGCATCACGTAGTCCAAAGCTTAAGAAAATTATTGTGTGGACTGTGTGTATCTAGGTTGTGAGTGGACTGACCAGAGAGCTTTCTGTTTGGACATGAGGCCCCACTTGTGACAAATTTGTGTATAATCATTGTTAGTATATAATCTATTATAAATGGGTTATTTTTTAATATATAATTTTATTGATGTGTAAATCAATTTAGTACATACACCTGAATTGTGCGAGGTGATTTGATAAGAAATAAATACCTCATTGGGGAGAATGGCATCCCTAACTAGCCCGGGAGGGTGAAAAACCACAGCCATCTGCCATCAGCATTTACATGATTGTTAACAGCCTTGGCAGCTGAATTGGTGTTCTTAATTTTCTGGACATTCTTGTGTTTGGTGAATACTATGGCTTCTTGGTATTCATAAGACAAGCTTGAACTTGAGGAACTTTTGTCTGGCAACTTGGATGTCCAAAAGTGTGTGACTAGTTTGGGGACGAAGTTTGTTAGGTTGATTTGCTTTGTTATAACATCTTCATCTCTACATCTTAGCTACTAACTGATGGTAAACTTTATAATATGAGATGGTGGAAGCTGTAGAATTGTCTGAAATAATGGAGCAGCCTCAGTTGAGAGTGGGATATTGGTGCATTGTCATGATTTTATATTTGGAGTTTATGTAGAATGTCAGTTATTTTTTTCTAATTTAGGATTCACTTTTCCTCCAGTCCTTGTGCTGTTTTTATCCTTCCCTTGTCTACCTCCCTCGTTCCCTCTCCTCATGTGTGTCCATTCATCTATCCCACCCTCCCTTTCCCCATCTGTCCTATGTCATCCCGCTCTCGTTTTTCATCTCCAGCCTTTCTCCCTAACTTAAAGTAATTATGTTTATATAAATGTGAAATTGTTCCTCTATTTTTTTGCAGGAGAAGACGCTTCCCAAAGAACCAGCATTTATATTCATAATAGAAATTAACCAGCTGATGATGCAGCGAGGTATTGTTCCGCTCTTGTGCCAAAGCATGAAAGATATCTTAAAGCACCTGCCTCGGGATTGCATTAATGGTACTAAATCCCCCGAGTCGAACATGAAAGTTGGCTTCATCACTTACGAATCTAATGTCCACTTTTACAAGCTTGATGGACAGGCTCCAGAAATGTGTGTGTTGTGTGATCGTGATGATATGTTTGTCCCTGTTCCTGGAGGTGTTTTGTCTGATGCAAAGGATGCTGCTGATAATATTGACAAACTTATGGAATGCATTCCCGAAAATTTTAAAGCTACGCGAGAAACCTCGGGTGCACTCTCCAGTGCAATTCGTGCTGGCATGGAGGCCTTGAGGGCTTGTGGTAGAGTAGGAAAACTATTTGTGTTTCATTCATCTTTACCAGTAGGCAGTGGAGGTGGTAGCCTAAAGATGCGAGAAGATAGAAAACTACTTGGAACTGAAAAGGAGAAGACGGTGTTAAATCCACAAAATACTTATTACAACAACCTGGGACAAGATCTTGTAGCAGCTGGATGTTCTGTAGATTTGTATATTTTTAATGATAGTTATGTTGATTTGGCCACAATTGGACAAGTGGCTAGATTGACAGGAGGCCAGTGCTATAAGTATACTTTCTTTCAGTCTAATAAAGATGGTCCTAGGTTTTTAAATGACCTTAAGCTTAACATTGGGCGTGATATTGCCTTTGATGCTGTGATGAGAGTTAGGACCTCGCAAGGAGTCAGGCCAGTGGAGTTCTATGGTCACTTTTTCATGTCTAATACAACTGATGTAGAGCTAGCAAGTATAGACTCCAGTAAGGCTATAGCCATCGAAGTTAAACATGATGACAAGTTGACGGAGGAGGATGGTGTGTACATACAAGCTGCTCTACTGTATACATCGTGTAGTGGACAAAGACGACTTCGGATTATCAATATGGCTCTTGGCGTGTGCATGCAGATGGCCGATTTATTCAAGAATTGTGACCTTGATACACTGATGAATTTCTATAGCAAGCAGTCCATTGTGAGATTATTAGAAACAAATGCCAAGCAGGTGAGTTGGTGTATGTCCATTAAGTTGATCATCATATAGGATTGTGTTCTAGTTATGAATTTCCAGTTTTAGGTCCCTTTAGTTCACATTATTTTAGTAATATCTGTGGTCTTTGTATATTGGTTTAAAATGTTAAAATGATTACGTACTGTGCTCCAAGACAAGTCGGTATTGCTTTTAGAAACATTTTAATCGGAGGAAAGGTGTGGTTGCATTAAACATGTCTAGTTGTACACCCTCTTAATTACATTCTTGTTCATATCCTGATACAGTATGTCAAAAGGAATAATTGTTTCTAGGCTGTCCTGATGCAAATTAAACATGATATATCTAGTTAATAAATTGACACTAGTGGGGTTTTCATGAAATTAGGTAACAAATTATTGCTGAAAATGATTGTGAAAGAATGTCAGAATTAATTTATCTTTGGTTAAAAGGTAAAAATTGGTTGTGTTAAAGTCTGCAGACGGTGTTGGCTACTGTTGTTTTTCCTGATCGCACTTATGTGTCGCTTACCTCCGGAGACTAGCATCTTTACAGCGGAGCTTTATGCTATTCTCTATGCTCTTCGTCTCTTGCTTTCTCGTTGTCAGTCTTCCTTTGTAGTTGTTGTTGACTCTCGTAGTACTCTCATGGCTCTCGGGTCCTTTAATCCGGTTCATCCAGTAGTTGTCAAGATCCAGCATTGGCTGTTTCTTGTTCACAGTAAATTTAAGTCGGTTGAGTTTTGTTGGGTTCCCAGCCATATTGGCGTGTCTTTAAATGAGCATGCGGATGCTGCCACCAAGGAAGCTGTCCGCTCTTGTCCCATCTCTCATCAAGGTATTCCATATTCCAACTTTTACCCGGTTATCCATTCCTCCGTCCTTACCCGTTGGCAGGCTTCTTGGTCGTCTGTTCCTGGTAACAAACTACGTACTCTTAAATGTTGTTTCCTCGTGGCCATCCTCCTACCACCATAACCGGCGATGGGGAAACAGCTCTGGCGAGGTTGCGTATTGGCCATACTCACTTAACCCATGGTCACTTGATGGAGCGCCGCCCTGCTCCTTATTGTCCTAGTTGCATTGTCCCTCTTATGGTCGTGCATGTCCTTCTTGAATGTCCTGACTTCCAGGACGAGCGTGTGTCTTGCTTTCCGACCGCCCCTCGGGGTCACCTGTCCCTCAATAGAATTCTTGGTGACTCGGATACTTTTGATACCGTTCGTCTTATGCGTTTTTGTTCTCGTATTGGCATCCTTGGTGATATTTAGCGCCCTCTGATTATTCTGCGCATTTGACGGTGCTACATAGCCTTCCCGGTTTGGTGCCTTCTTTTGATAATTACTTACTTGGTTGTGTTAAAATTTTATTGTGCCCTGTTCAAGGATCTATCAAAGATGAGAATTAAGAAGTGAATGGTGTTTTTGATTAAGGTGACTTGTTAAATGAAGTCAATTTTATAAGTGCATGTTGGGGTGGTGCAGTTCACACAAAGTGGAGCCAACTTGCATTTGCTGCCCCCCTCACTTTCCAGCCTGTTGTCGTCATGAGGGGGCTTGGTTGGCAGCTGCCAGAGTGTGATACTCCATGGAATAGTTCTGTCCTTTTGAAGCCTTATGCTCCTGCTTCCGTCTTCACTAATTATGCTGAATGCTCTTTCCTCTTCCAGCATTTTTCCTCCCCCTCTTCTTTCTAATTGTCATTTACCGCCAAATTTTTGCCATTCTTGATTACAGTATTCTTTCGAACATCTTCTGTTTTGACACCCAGACGTTTGGGGAGGCGCACACAATTAACCTGTAGAATTGTGGTACTTGACGTTTCGAGTGAGGGGACACCTTCATTGTCACTCACCTTCGTTGCTGAACCTGATCTCGACGGACTGACGGTTCTTAAGGTGGCGATTCTGGGCATATACTCATGATGTATCCATGGGGGCCCCCATCTTGTTGGGTGTCTTATCCTCTAATTGTGGTTCCATGGTGGGTATGGGGGCTTATTCATGAATGAAAATGATCCTTTTACAACTTCCCGGACTCTTGGGGTGGGCAACCAAGCCCCCGAGTCAACTGTGTTGGATGACCGGGGTCTGTAGCACCCTCTACATTAGCCCAGACCAAGCTACTCCTTTGACCCTCCCGACTACCCCCCCTCTGCTCCCCTCCCTCCTCAGTGGTAGGGTTAAACCCCAAGCCCCCAGTGGTAACCACCTCATCACCTGGAGTGACTCCTTCTCTCATTTGTGATAACTGCACTGTCTTCCCCCCCCCCCCCCCCACCTCTTACTGGAGGTGCTCGGCTGCAACCCTCCCCCCTCCCCCACACAGATGCACTTGCACGATTCCTTCCAGTGCTAATACGTTCCATGCCGTTTGGTCCTGCTATATGGATTAAATACTTTGATCTCCTCCATCTGGATTCTACATGTCCTGATGATTTCTTCCTCTATAAACACCTCGTTGATTTGGTGGATCTGTTACGTTTAACCCCATCTGTACTGGTATGAGTGTCGTTGCTGCTCCTTATCAGGGTGCAGTTGCCCGCTTAGCCGCATTGTCCGGCATTGGGGGAGATCCCTGTTAGGATCTCCAAAAATGCACGATTAAATGACAGTATTGCCACTGTTATCCTCCCACACCATGTTGCGACTGGTGTTAGGGACCTAAAAGACTGCCACGAGGATATTAAACATATCCTTGAAGCACAAGGCCATTCTATTCTCCAGGTTGATACATTCGCCCTACCCCCCTCATGGTCGTCATCAGCCTTTTCAAGTTATGAATGGAGGAGGGTGTTTCCCTCCTCCATTCCTAGTCTGCCATGTCTCCTGTGTCTTCTTTCCCTTCTCCCTCCAAGCCTTCTTCCCAGTCCTCCATGCTGCCTGTCTGTCTAGGCTGTTGTCCATCATCCTCCCAGCAATGATATTGATCGCTCCCGTTCTCCTCCCATTGAGACCATGAAGGCTGTTGCCTAGTATGTTGTTGCTGGCACACCTGTTTCTTTAAGTCAGAAACTTAAGCCTGGCCCTTCTTCTTCCTCCCCGGTAGGTAAGAAGGCATCGCTTTCTTCCCAACCCTCCGACTCTTATCACTGCATCCCCTCCCATTTCGCTGGTCGAGCCCCAGGACGAATGTGTCTTGCTTCCAGACCGTCCCTCGATAGAATTCTTGATGAATCGGATACCTTTGATATCGTTCGCCTTATGCGCTTCTGTTCTCGTATTGGCATCCATAGTGATATTTAGCACCCTATGATTGTTGTGCACATTTGATGGTACGACATAGCCTTGGTGCCTTCTTTTGATAATTACTTACTAGCATTAGGCTGTATTACCCTGTGGTTGGACAGATAAATGTTACATACTCTAAATGAGATGAGAGCTAAGAAAAGTAGGAATCTTGGGATAAATTGAAAGTAGTATAAAGTTTTTTTTTTACTAGTATAAAATCCAAATGCCAAAGCACTTGGAATTTTTATAAGAAACAAATATCGGTAGATAATGACTTCTAGTGGAGAGATTCATTGTGATTTTCACTTAGAGGAATTGGGCATGGCATCTCTCAATTGAATATATTAGTGTAAAATTAGTCACCAGGACTCAAGAGATGCTGCTTTGAAGAGGAGGGGATGAACGCCCCCATTACTGTACTAAAAGATCATTAGAATTGTATTGGCACTATGGTATCTGCTGAAAACATTTAGATTTCAACCATTGGATGTCCCAGGAAAATAATATTTGGTCTAGTTAAGTGTGTGCATCAGTTTTGAGCTAGGGATGGTACTAAGAATTTTTTTGTAGAAGCTAGAGAATTAAAGAATGAAGCAGTGTATGATTTCATAGTGTATAGGTTGGTAGAAGCAGTGTATGTCCTAGAATATTGCTAGGTATAGCAACCAAGAAAGCATACTAGTGAGAACGGTTTATTTTATGTATAATGTAACATGAATGTTGAGCAAATTCAGATTTGCATAGTTGTAATTTGTTTACACATTAAATATATCTAATCTTTGCAGGTTAAAGATACTTTGATTGCCAAGACTGCTAATATACTGGCCTGCTATCGCAAGAACTGTGCATCCCCATCCTCTGCTGGACAACTCATTTTGCCAGAGTTGATGAAGCTCCTACCACTATATGTTAATTGCCTTAGCAAATCTGATGCAATTAGTGGTGGGCAGGACCTACCCTGTGATGAACGCTCCTGGCAAATGTATCTTGTAAATACTATGCCTGTGGATGCTTCTGTTCCTTACTTGTATCCGAGGCTCATTCCACTCTCTGATGATGATCCACAGGTCAGTATCTCTGAATTTAATGTTCTGTGCACAAAAAAGCACAATTCTTCTGTTATTAACTCTGCTTAACGTTGACTACAATGCACTCCTAATTTTGGACGCTGCTACATTTCTACAGACTGGGTCAGTCAAACTGGTGTGCATTGTACAGCACTTAATTTATTATCATGTGGAATAAAAGTACGCATTTCAAGACTTAGACTTTTTTCTTTGAGAAATTTTACTATGCACTGTAAAACAATTGACTATAAACTTGCCAGGCTTTTAATAATAGGTAGAAACAGGAGACAGTGGGTAAAAGCCAGTGGTACAAAATTAATGTATAAAGTATTGGGTTTTCTAGTATGCTTACTAGCAAATAGGCTGTCATATGCTCGTTGGCATACTGTAATCTCTATCTAGTCAGGAAAGACTGAAATAGTTTTATACTGATGGAAGTAGTAAATGAACCCATTACTGAATTCAGTTAATGGGTTAATTGAGTTAGAACTCGTAAACTTCGCGTGTTCAGTTAATGTACAGTAAATCTCTCTTACAGAATACGGGGATCCCTTCACCGCTCCGAACATCGTATGATAAACTTCATCCTGAAGGTGTCTTTCTACTGGAGAATGGTGTGCAGATGTTTATATGGGTTGGGTCAAATACCTCTCCAGCTTGGTTGATGGATGTCTTTGGGGTAAATGCTCCCCATCAGTTGGACCCTGTGATGGCAGAATTACCCGAGCTCGACAATCCTGTGTCGAAACGAGTGTGTGACATCATTGCTTCTATTCGTTCTCAACGGAATAAACATGTCAGGGTAAGAACAAAAATGTCACCTAAGTGTGTGAGTGTGTGGGAAGAGTCTTGTATGTCTTTTTGGTGGTGTTTTGGCATTAAATGCTTGCCATGATTATAAGCTGTAACTTGTAAATGTTTGACATGGTAATTATTGATTTGTAAATGCTTGCCACAGTAGTAAAGTGCTTGCTGAAATAGTAATAAGCAGTAACTTGTAAATATTTGCCAGAACAACCCTCTGTGTTGCAAGTAAGTTGCAATTAATTCACTTGCTACACAAGCAGACAAATACCCGGTATATAGAATTCTTCAGCAAATGAAAGTTTTCATGCACAAAGCACAATACTCAGAACACCTAGAGATGATTTTGCACAGTGAGTTGTTTAGAAGTCTGGGAGGGTGTTTGGTTGCATGTTTCATTCCTAGATGGCTCTGGTGATCTGTTTTGAGGAGGGAAAACAAAATTCCGGTGCCCAAGTTTATCTAGGCATTAGTCAATGGGTGCACACCATGCCTAGCACACCATCTTCCAACTTAGGAGATCACAGCACAACCATGCAAGGGACAGTTAACACTATACAAAATAACATTTAAATACACAAATCCAGCAAATAAACATGAGGGACAGTGGCATCCAACAGGATGCCACTGTCCCTCATCACTTACTGCTGGCTGCCTACCACTCCACTCACCTTGTGCATCTTTCACATATGCCTAGTAATTTTAGCCATAATAAATTAGAAATATCAGACATTGCACCTATACAAAGTATTTTGTCTAATGTGTGCATATCTAAAATGATTAAATGCAGAATGTTTGGAAAGCATTCTATAGAAGGAAGGCTTTCCAAACCTTCTTTCCTTCCATGAAAAACAATAGAAATCGAGATTCTATTGACACATTTTTTTCTAGAACTGTTCATTCTTTGTGATGGCCTGGCATAGAATCTTGAGATATTGTATACCTTGTTGACCAAACTACACAATAGAAAGTAAAGGGACGACGACATTTCGGTCCGTCCTGGACCATTCTCAAGTCGATTGTATACCTTGTATAAAATAGTTGACAGCATAATTCAACCCATCCTCCTATTTAGATAGTACCTATTGTGACGATCGTCAATAGTCATAATTCGTACGTTCTTAGCTTTTAGGTAGTAGTACTGTATACTGACTAGTAAGGAATTCTTTTAAAATAAATAAAGCTAAAACACACTTTAATATTCCTAGGACTAGTATAGCGCACACACATGTACTATATTAGGCCTGAGATATTGTGTATTAAGCCTAGGGAGGTTAGGTTGTGTTGCTTTGACAAACTAAACTAACTCGAGTAATAAATAGTTTTCCGGTGGCAAGCTCAATACTGTAGTTCAGATTTGTACATTCTAATTTCATTGTGCGTCGGTATATATATACTATGATCCTCATCGTTCCTAAGGTACTACCAGAAATAGGAGTATATCCTGCATAATTCAGTCTAGTTTAGTACCAACACAAAAATTGCAAGCCATCTAATGCACAAGGGAAAAGAATTGTGGTAAGTGGGATAGCAATTGAAAGAACAGTCTATAGCAAATTTGTACTTGGGTACTGTGGAAGATATTGATCCTTGTTTTACCTTTTCAAAATAGTGCTTACATTTCTGACAATTGCACATGTTTGTGGATATTACATTAATATTACATTTCATTTACCCTTACAGTTGTTCGTAGTTCCACAACAGAGCAAACATGAGGTAGTGATGCGGAACTACTTGGTGGAGGACAAGAGCTTGTATGGTGCCCCAAGCTATGTCGACTTCCTATGTCATGTGCATAAGGAAATCCGTGCCCTTCTTTCTTGAAATAGGTGGCAGTACTACCCATGGCCGTCACAACCATCATCATCATCACCATCACAGTTGGTAGGGTCATCTCCCTCCACCTTTCCAGTCTATTCTAGTGAAGCCTCTTCTACCCAGCTGACCAACAATTCCACTACCCTTATCACCTCTACCAACATTGTTAGTGATCAAATCTCTACCCTTCAACTTTCCTTTCCGTGTATGGAAGTTCCACAGAGCCATTCACCTAATGGTGCCTCTCTTACACTATTTGCTAGAAATGCCAGTTGTCATACCATGACCACACCTACCTGTGCCAGTAAGGAATGCAAGGCCAATGTTATATATCCGAAAGTGGCATCAACGCTGCAAAACTGGCATTGAGATCCTCGTAATTTTGCTCATGTGATTCAGCTATTAACATTTTAATTTTTTTAGTATTGATTATAGGTGTAGATGTGTGACATAGTATTTTTGAAAAAAGAAGCATTTTTTTAAGTATCGAAGGCCTAATAGAACATTTGGTTACAGGTTAAAATTCTTGAAAGAATGTGGATATGTAAAGATATCTACTGAGGGTTAAGTGTTTGAATAAGTTGCTTGATTCTTCATTTAACTATAATACTCGGATGTGTATAAAAAAATAATTGTAGCCAAGAACAAAATTGAGTCCTTTGAGAAAGAACCACACATTTATAATGCCTAATTGTTTGTGTAGATTACAGCTCATAATCTTCATATACTTTTAGCTGGATCATGTCCATGGGTAGGGCTGCTTATGTTATGGAAAAATGCTCACCACTTCTTTAAACTTTGTTTAAGTAAGTTTTGATACTGTGTTGTAGATTTGTTAGTAGAGGTAAATGGGAGGAAATGGGTAGCTGGGTGCCTGTAACATTTTTGCTATGTAGGATTAAGAATAAAGATTTATTTTTATGTAAACTTGTATTCAATATAGAACTTCCACATTTTATGAATTTTAATGAACAATTATATGATGTTTTACATTATCAGTGGTTTAATGAAGTATTGCATTTGTATGGTTTATTTAATTCAAATATCAGTCATCTTCATTTAGAGGAAATTTTGCTATTTAGTTTAATGAAATCATTCTTGGGATTTGGTTATGATGGAATTAGCTCATTCATGGGGACCATAAATTGGCAGTAGTCCATTATATAGATCGGGGGCCTGTTATGGCAAAATGCAATATGTTATATTTCAATGTTATGTTAAAAAAATATTGTTAGCTTATCTACCATGTTTTTTAATAATCCTTAATCAAGGCTAGTGAACTGATACCATGCAGCCAAGACTGCAACACTTGCTTTATCTTGAGATGATTTCGGGGCTTTAGTGTCCCCGCGGCCCGGTCCTCGACCAGGCCTCCACCCCCAGGAAGCAGCTCGTGACAGCTGACTAACTCCCAGGTACCTATTTACTGCTAGGTAACAGGGGCATAGGGTGAAAGAAACTTTGCTCATTGTTTCTCGCCGGCGCCTGGGATCGAACCCAGGACCACAGGATCACAAGTCCAGTGTGCTGTCCGCTCGGCCTACCGGCTCGACCGGCTTTCATGACAGATTGTGGAATATAACCGTTTTCTATAAAATGAATAGTGTTGTATTAGTATAACTGTCTACAAGACAAAAATAGAACTAATTATTTTCCCCAAGGAGCTATGGTACTTTTTCAAACAATGTATGTATAGGTTGACTAGTCATTTAAGCTCTGTAATACACCAAAAACGGTTACTTTATATGTGTAATTAATATATATATATATATAGTATAGTGACTGTCCCCAAACTTATTTATCTGAACCGGCTCTTCACTAGGTCTGTACTCGTGTCTTTGTCATAGCTTTTCTTCAGTGGAATATCTTGCTTTTGTGCGAATTTCAGTAAGCTGCAACGTTTGACTTCGCTTCCTTGACAAACCATTGACTGAAAACTGAGATGTTTGGTGCTTAGTTCTTTGTCACCTCCAGCTGCTCTCTTCATCTGGAACCATGTTCCTTTCATTCTCCTTATTTTTCAGTTTTAACATTCATTTTGCCACTCGTATCTTTGTGAATAGATTCAAGCCAAGAAAAAATGGGTGCTTCTATAACTACATTTAGTGAAAATTCGTAGGACCTGTGATGAGGGTTCGAAACTATGCGGTGGATGTTCCCTCGCTCACACGTCTAGCGACTAGACCACAACATGGAATAAAGTTTGCAACCTGGAGTTCTGCTAAACCCACAGGGATTTCCCGAGGCTTGGACTGAAGCCGGAAGGGAATTTTCACACAAGCTCCCCATTCAGTAGAAGTCTCGGGAAATCTTTGTGGGTTCAGTAGAACTCCAGGTGGCAATCCTTATTCTAGGTAGTGTTCTAGTGGCTAGACACGTGTACGTGGGAACATCCATCACAGGACTTATGGATTTTCTCATTGATGCGCTCACGTTAATGCAGGAACTACATTTAGAATTGTCCCATCAATAGCAATTGCCTAAAATTTTCGAAAGTTCCACTGAAACATCTCTAATAAGATTTTGAAAAATACATTGTAGCTAGATACTTATTTCTGAAAATGGTCATCTTTTACTTTGGAAAATTGATTTATATTAGGAGCATGGTAAGTTGATGGTATATTGAGTTACGATTTTTTTTTTTTTTTTTTTTTTTTTTTAAATTTAATAAGGTATTTGCTGAACTACCAGTTCAGCAGTTGCTAGTAAAAGATAAATGTGTAGCACTTAATTTCCTCCCGTGTTGCTAACGCAAACATGCATATCCTGCACAATACATTTTTTAATATTTTCTAGATGGAATTTGATAGTTTAAGAAAATTTTCATGAGCCTTATAAATGCACCATTTTCTACAACAATGGTTGTAAGTAGACCATCATTTCTCCAATATACTTGAATTTTCTGTGGTCATTTATATCTCAAATTTTGTTTATCAATGGATTCTTTTAAGGTCCCGTGTCAGGTCCCAACACATTACAGTAGTTTCATTTTAACCGAGGATAATAATCATCATACTTTAAAATATTGCTTGACACTAAAAATTAATTTATTAGGGTTTAAGATTCTTAAATATTTAATAAATTTATCTCTTCAGATTACTGAAAACAAATATTCAAATGTTGATACTAATTATTCATCTATCACTAGTAATTCCACTCCTATCTGCATTGTCCACCTGGTGAAAAGCACAAGTAGATCTAAGTTTATATTGTGTAACCACCTTTCCAGTAATAATGTTAAGCTATACTGCCTCAACTATAATAGCCAATAGATACTACAGTATTCACATTCTTGTATATTAAATCTACTTTTATCTACACATGAAGAAAAGTGGCAAATCATGACATAATTAAACACATACAATACTAACAGGATTTTATTGTTTCAAAAAAATTTGTAACACTCGACTCCAGATATTATGAATTTTCCACTTCTCTGTGCCTGAAAGAAAAATCAAACTATCAGTTTTAAAAATTTGAGAAAAAAATATTAACATGTAAAAAAAAAAAAAAAAAAAAAAAAAAAAAAGTTGAATGTAATGAAATGCCAATTTCTGGGAGAGACGTGGCTCCCTGAAGCTTAATGCAGAGATGGTTACAATCTACTGGGTCACATCAGCCGTACATGCTCAAAAGCCGAAGAGCGACAAAACCTCATGCTGCCACCAAGAAGAAAAATGCAGGTAAGAAGCCACCCTCTCGCCATACACGTAAAAAATTTCAGTTGAACATAGTTGAGAATGTTGAATCGGCAAAGTCAGTCACGGAAATGACCTGATAAGCGGTGAAGCTTTGGGGGGGGGGGGTTCAGACAGACACTGAAACCCAGGCCAAACGAGCCAGAAAGATCACTCACCCCTGGTAGAAGGCCAATCTAGCCAACACATGGAGCAACATCTGGAGGGGGGGTCCTGTATCCTGGACCAGGGTACAGGACCGCCCATCTCGACTAATCCAGCCTAAAAGCATCCCCCGAGAAGGCCTCATGATCGGGGGAGCCACGTACAAAGGATCTCTACTGACAGTGGTGTACATCAAGGCACCTGTTGCTCAAAGGCCAGAGGAAAGGGGCAGCATCAACACTACATTCTATGGAACTGGGACAGTATCGGCAAGAACACTGGATAATCTCAGGAGATGAGCTGCTTGAAGCATCTAGCTACAAAGAGACTGACAGAAATGAACACCCAATTTAGATAATGAAACACAGGAATCCCAATCCCAAGTACATGCCACACTGCTGCAAACTCCCAAACCATACTGTGCCCAATGAAAGGGAGGAGACCAATGACCCTGGCCAGCTTGGCGAGTGTCGGTAAAGTATGTATACTTGGTGAGCATCTCGGTTTGAAGGGGCCACATTCTGGTTCTGGATCCCAGTTGATGCTCATAGGTCGTTAGAGGCCTGAATTTCTTAAAGAAGCCACTTAATTTGTTTTACCAAATGTTTCAGATTTTTTTTTTTTTCAGTTTTGGAGATCTCTGATCCCTAAGTACCCCTTGCCATCTAGTAGAGAGCCAGATTCTACTTCTGGTTATTTGTGAATTTGAGTTTCATGGGCCTGCTGCGAATCCTAAGACTTTGCTATACCAGTGCATAGACTACATGAAGTTATGTATGGGACCCTCCCAGAAACTGATAGATAATAAAGTGCTAAATGGTCTTTCTATGGGCTACAGAAAATAGTAGTGTGTTTAACGATGTAACACTGTAAAAGTGTTTGGTTTAGTTTAAAATATATATAGAATATGAGTCAGAGACAGGAATTGGGAAAGGCGCCAGGTTGTCGGCCTGAGATCTCACACCTCAAAGCGTTAATGACCTCAAGTGACCTGAGGTCAGATCATGAGAATTTCACCTTGCTTCCGCTAAGCTTATAATTGTAGCCTGTTAGCCTTCAAACATGCCGACGTTCAAGGAGTGGCTTGGTAGAAAGCCGGAGGCTATCTACTTGTGGGCGGAGTTAGCTACTAGGTTCCCCAATAAATACTCTGAGAACTATCGATTCGAGAGGATTGAGCATTAAGAGCAATAGGAGACCAGCCAGCAGAGCAGAGAAGACGTCCCTAGCAGGGAGGCTGTCGGCCAGCAGGGGCGAGACAGTCTCTGTCAAGCTACAGACCCCCCCCTCTCTATTCAACTTAAACTCAGTCCTCGGTGAGTGAACATTAAAGTGACTTGTCGTGTTTTACAAGTGTTGTGTGAAGATCAGGGGCAGTCAATTGTAGTGTTCTCAGATTCTTGGAGGATGACTCACTTTGAATATTAATCTTTAACATTTTAATTGGATTGCTTAAGTTATGATACTTATCATGAAAAATATAATTGTTGAATTTATTATTTAAATGGACTTTATTTTGTTCCCTAGAGATTTTGAGTTGAGGTGAGAAAGCCTCTGTGGTTACTGGTTTCATGGTTTAGAATGAGTACATGATAAAGATGGGACCATACTAATAATGATCTCTTGATAACATCTTTGAGGAATTTTGTGATACAGACAAGTTCCATTCCTTGTCTTGTATGTAATGATCATGAATGGATGGTGGCAGCATTTCGTCTTCTACTATCTACTCTTCTACTTCTACTATCTACTCTTCTACTTCTACCTATCTACACCTCTCCCTCCACCTATCTACACCTCTCCCTCCACCCCTCTCTGAACTCTCACTTTCAACTAATGACCCTCCTCGCTCCTCCCACCTCCCTACCTCTCACCCCAAACCCTCACTAATTACTTCACTATTCATTTCTTTCCTCTCGTTTTCTCTTATATGTTTGTGGCAATGATTATGTATTCTAGAGTTTTCTCTGGAGTTTCGGGTAACTGATCAAGTGACGGCGCCTTGTAGTCGTGGCACCTAGGTAGTCAAATACCTAGGTTAGAAGGTGTTGAACGAGAGAGGTTGCCTTAGGAACTCTGGAGGTGCTCTAGAATAGTTAGCTAACTGGGGACGGGATAACGGACTAGAGAGAGCTGTTTCCCCCGGCCTCGTTAGTTAACTGGGGGGTGGAATAATGGACAAGATAGAGCTATTTCCCCCCACCCCCCGTTACAACGAAAATAAGTTCCCGCTTATGCGCTACGGAAACCATGTACAAAACTCGGTCAAATCATAACACAGAACGAAAAGGCAATGTAAGGGATTTGGGTGTACTCGTGTCAGAAGACCTTGCCTTTAAAGAACACAATAAAGTAGCCGTCACAACTGCAAGAAAAATGACAGGTTGGATAACAAAAACTTTTCACACTAGAGATGCTATACCGATGATGATACTTTTCAAAAACGCTCCTGCTCTCTAGAGTGGAGTACTGCTTCACAATGATGGCCCTTTTCAAAGCTGGAGAAATTACTGACCTGGAGAGCATATAGAGATCCTTTACTGCTAGAATCCACTTGGTAAAACATCTAAACTACCGGACCAACTAAAGAGCCTAAATCTGTATTCCCTCGAGCGCAGGCGGGAGAGATACATAATAATTTACAAGTGGAAAATAGTAGAGGGGCTGGTCCCAAACCTGCACACAGAAATAACATCACATGAGACCAGAAGGCATGGCAGGATGTGCAGAATACCCTCATTGACAAGCAGAGGTGCAAGAGGTACTCTAAGAGTGAACTCTATCAACATCAGAGGCCCGAGACTGTTCAACACGCTTCCACTATGCATAAGGGGCATAACTGGCCGACCCCTCACAGTGTTCAAGAGAGAACTGGATAAGCACCTACAAATGATACCTGACCAACCAGGCTGTGATTCGTACGTCAGGCTGCGAGCAGCCACGTCCAATAGCCTGGTTGACCAGTTCAGCAACTAGGCCGCGGGGACACTAAGCCCTAAAAGCACTGTAAGGTAACCTCAAGGTATGTTGCAAACTCGGGTAGATCATAGATTATTAAATCTCTAACCCTGTGGCAAAAATAGCACCATAAAGGAAACTTAGAATTTTAACTTACTTGCACTTTGGACAGATATAGAATATGGTTTGACCTTCATCTGCTGATCTTAGCTGCATGGTGGTGTATGACATGCCAATGTTTCCACACTTGCTACACTCTCGGTCATTATCCATCTGTCCAAACTCACTATCATCAGCCTTCACCTTCTTCTTCTTCACAGCTGCAGTGAGAGCTCCTCTTGGAGTGAACTCCACATTATAAGATGTTACGCGCCCAATTAATGCTGAGAAAAAAATTTCATCAGGTAAACTGGGATAATAATAGTAAGACATCTGGGTGTAACATCAGGGAGGATGAACATGCTTACAACATCTGTCTCTTGCACTCACCACTACCCAGGCCACCTACGTGCTAGGGTTACTACTCTCACCACTATCCAAATTGCATTAACTGGTGATCAATGCAATTTGGTCACCAAACACCAACTTGTAAGTAATTTTATGTGGTATTTAAGAGATACTGAACAAGAACTAGCACTCCAATATAATATCACACATACATAACTGTGTGTATGTATATAAATTATATATATATACAGTACTTAGTGGGTTTATATACAGTATATTAGTGGGTTCAATACTATATGTAATTTAGTAATAGCAATGCTGCATTATTGATCCAAATACATTAAAAGGAATTACCCTACTGTACTTATATAATACAGCAAACTTCTGATTTTACAAGACACGATATTACACCAACTACACTAACAAATTAACCTGTCCACACTAACATAGTGCAGTACAGATTAAAAATTGAAACCATGTTTTGGTTTAACATGGTCAACTCTTGGTTTCCCACTTCATCATCAATCATTGATTCCGTGTTATAATTGTTTTAATAATTATTGACTTTACAGGGGGGGGGGTTCCTCAACTTACCAATGTACCTCATTCCTGGGAACCACTGGTTCACAAAACTATATTTCTTACAGGAATAAGGATATAAATGGAAGCTAGGCTCCCCGACACTAAAATCAACCACTGAATGTAATGAAATGCTTTCTATTTGGGAGGGACTCTCAGTACCTCCCCGAAGTTAATCACAGCAGCACCTCAGTAGAGGAAGCCAATATTTCAAGAGGAAAAATCAATGCCTGGTCACAGACCGAGCCACAAGGGACATTGATCCTCAGAGTTATCAACATACATTCAACAGGTTGCCTTTGATGGCAAGCATGGTCTGCGCCAGAAATGACATGGTGACACGCATGTACTATGACATGGCTGCCGTCTCGTGGCACACGTCTTATGAACCAGTGGTTCGGCCCAGTTAAGTCGTTAACAAATGTGATCCATGCAGTTGTTGCTTCTGGTGCTTACTGCTGTGGTCATAGAAACCAGACTCCCGTTCCATCTACAGTGTGGACCAGATTCTGGTACTGGTTACCAGCAGGCAATCATGAATTGATAGAGCCTGGAGTTATACTGAGGGTTTCACAAGGGGGCCCCTCCCACAAAATTACATGCATAACGATAATCTTGAGTGGCCTCCCTTTTGTGCAATAAGATGCAACATACTGGATACAGATAGCAAGATAAAAGGGAAAAATCCTTGCAAATGGTGTACTGTATATAATAAGAGGTTAAAGTACTTACAATCAATAAATATGCTGAATGTACACACTGCACATTCTACAGTTTCCCCAAATTTTGGAAGAATAAGGATAGCGCCACATGAAGGACAGAAGTCTGGCTCTGCTTCAAAAAGTTGCTGTAATCTGTTTTCTTCCATATCTGGAAATAAGTTTCATCACAATAATCTTAACAATTATTTTTATTACTCTTCATAAACTTATAAATCACTAAATAGCCATAAAACAGTATTTCTGTAAAAGGAAGCAAACAATGGCAATACTAGTACTTGCGCAATAAAAAGGCCTTTTCTCTTTTTAAATGCTGACTTTAGGTAACATGTTTGTTAGTTTATGTTAGGTTTGCTTTGCAAGGTGCCTGAACAAAAATAAAAATTACATCTTTATATTTACAGCATTTAAAAAACAACAGATCAAATAAAATAATTAATAATTTTAGATTAAGTTAGCTGATCCCTACTCTATGACCAGGAAGATTTGAATGATGTAAACCTGTGTGCAAAATAGCATCAAGAGCTCTTCAGAGAAAATAACAACCAGAGAACACTATGTCCATCTAAACACCTGTGGTTGTGGAATGAATTATTTGAGATACATTGTTGCCTGGAGCGCATTTTCTGGCATATCGGCCTCCTGTTCACAGTGATTGAATCATAACAAATTTAATAGGGGATATTAACTAGTAGAATGAATGTTTATAACAATATGTAGCACAAAAAGCCACAAAAGATTTAAAAAATCAAATAAAATGTGTCAGGAAATTAAATAAATTTCTTTGGACGGTGGTTTTGTTATATAGATGCTGATCATTATTTGTTGGTATGCGATTGTTGCTTAAATGCTCAGATGAATATATTGAATCATTTTATGTTTTACTGTATATACCACCAAATAGACAACTACAACCTACACCTAAGAAAAACTGTACAATATAGTTTCAAATACTGTATTGTCATCAAAGCATGTATTTTTGAAGCATATTTAATTACCCCAATGGAACAAAACTTACAATAAAAATTCCCCACATGATACATGAATGCATAAATATCATTAGAAAATTCTGTTTATCTCATTAAGTTTTGTCAGCCTATTGTATTGTACTGCAGTGTACACAATAAAAAGCACGGACCATATGAAGAAATGCACAGTGCTTTCTCAGAAATAAGCTAAGAAATGTACAGTATAAATGATCTTTCTTCACCTAAGGAATTTGAATGCACTCATGGCTCAACAGTACCTGAACATAGTTTAAAATAATGCCCTGATATCATAATTCTGTGTATGTTATTCGAGAGCACAATGCAATACATGGACCAGAATCTACAGTGAAAGGTGCAAACACATTCCTCCAGTTAAAGTTTCATTAAGCAGAAGAGTCAATAAATAACCGGACCAGTGAGCAAAGATGTCTCTAATATTAGTCACAGAAATAATGGGATTTTATGATAAACCTGCGAGATGTGGATATTAGATGAAATTACAGCTAACTCTTGATCTTTGCTCTGTAATTCCTCACATAGAACGGAAAGACTGTATTACGCTCAGTTAGGCTAAGTTGAGTAAAATAGGTAGGTTTTAACATTATTGGTGACATAATATAAATAAATGTTTATTCAGGTAAGGTACATACATACAAGAGATTTTACAAAACATACCTAAGCTTATACTGTCACATACCTTATGCTTTTGTTTTAGCGGTAAGATACCTATCTCATTCACTTGTACTACTTTATCGTCTTGAAGATATTTGCAATATTTCTCCGCGTGCAGCGTGTACGGCTCGGGCGGCCGTCGTCTTGTTGTTATGATCACTTGCGGCGCTGGGAAACAACTCCGTTTTCTTTGGTATATTATTTATTTGTACAAGAATATATTATTTAATGTATTTTAATTGTACAGGTATATATTATTTAATGTATTTTAATTGTACAGGTATATATTATTTCATTTATTATATTGGTACAGGTATCCAGTATTTATTTCATTTATTTTAATTGTACAGGTAAATATTATTTCATTCATTATATTAATACAGGTACATATGATTTCATGAATTTATATACAATACAATACAATACAATTTTATTTAGGTAAGGTACATACATACAATAAATTTATACAAGGATTGGTTGACTTATAGGTAGAGCTAGTACATACAATGCCTAAAGCCACTATTACGCAAAGCGTTTCGGGCATTTGAATTGTGATTTGTGTTTTCTCAAAAAATTATTAAGGAAAATGAGTTCAAAAACATGTAATAATAATTATAATGAGCAAAATAAAAAATGGGTAATAAAAATAAAGCCATTTTTTATGCTTTTTATTTAGAGATTATTTCGAAAGATACTTATATGGGTATATATATGGTACTTATAACGGCATATGTATGTACTAATAATGTCATATGTATGGTAATTATAATGGCATATGTATGGTACTTATAATGCCATATGTATGGGACTTATGACATGTGAATGGTACTTATAATAGTATATGTATGGTACTTATAATGATATATGTATGGTACTTATAAAGGCATATGTATGGTATTCATAAGGCATATGTATGGAACTTTTAATAGCATACGTATGTACTTATAATAGTATATGTATGATACTTATAATGATATATGTAAGGTATTTATAAAGGCATATGTATGTACTTATAATGGCATATGTATGGCATTTATAATAATAATAATAATAATAATAATAATAATTTTTATTTAGGTAAAGGTACATACATAAAGAGATCTTACAAAGTTTGTTGGCTTTATAGATAGAGCTAGTACATACAAAGCCTAAAGCCACTATTACGCAAAGCGTTTCGGGCAGCTGCAGTACAATGATGACATATGCATGGTACTTTTAACTACATATGTATCGTACTTATAAAGACATGTATGGTACTTACAATGACATATGTATGGTACTTATAATGGCATATGTATGGTACTTATAAAGACATATGTACTCACCTAATTGTACTCACCTAATTGTGCTTGCGGGGGTTGAGCTCTGGCTCTTTGGTCCCGCCTCTCAACCGTCAATCAACTGGTGTACAGATTCCTGAGCCTATTGGGCTCTATCATATCTACATTTGAAACTGTGAATGGAGTCAGCCTCCACCACATCACTTCCTAATGCATTCCATTTGCTAACTACTCTGACACTGAAAAAGTTCTTTCTAACGTCTCTGTGGCTCATTTGGGTATTCAGCTTCCACCTGTGTCCCCTTGTTCGCGTCCCACCAGTGTTGAAAAGTTCGTCCTTGTTTACCCGGTCGATTCCCCTGAGGATTTTGTAGGTTGTGATCATGTCCCCCCTTACTCTTCTGTCTTCCAGTGTCGTGAGGTGCATTTCCCGCAGCCTTTCCTCATAACTCATGCCTCTTAGTTCTGGGACTAGTCTAGTAGCATACCTTTGGACTTTTTCCAGCTTCGTCTTGTGCTTGACAAGGTACGGGCTCCATGCTGGGGCCGCATACTCCAGGATTGGTCTTACATATGTGGTGTACAAGATTCTGAATGATTCCTTACACAGGTTCCTGAACGCCGTTCTGATGTTAGCCAGCCTCGCATATGCCGCAGACGTTAATAAGTTAATAAGTTACGATGATAAGTTTGATATTTGAGTTGGCTGTATCTCAGTAAATATGGCTGTTAAAGCCTTAATATTGAAAATTAGTAAAGAAAGACTTAACAGAAAGAAATATAAATTATTGCGGTAAACACAATGGTAACATTTTCAAAACGATTCTATGGCTGGTTTTGATTTTGAGTTTTGAGAAAAATGAAGATTTCGCCCAGGCTGGGATTCTTCCCCGTCGACTGGGCTGTTTGGCAGAAAATGGAAGCGGCTGGCGAAAGTGACGTACTGTCCCGTTTTCTGTTTTACGTCATCTGGTAGATTAGGAGAGGGCACATTAAAGTCACCGTTTTCTTGACGTTGGGAAACGTTAAGAGGTTACCATACACAAATGGTACTTATAATGGCATTCAATATGTATGGTACTTATAATGGCATTCGTATGGTACTAATAATGGCATATGTATGGTACTTATAAAGACAAGTATGGTACGAATATGGGTATATGTATGGTACTTATAATGACATATGTATGGTACTTATAATGGCATATGTATGGTACTTATAAAGGCATATGTACGGCACTTATAATGGCATATAAATGGTACTTATAAAGGCATATGTATGGTACTTATAATGGCATTTGCATGATACTTATATAGGCATATGTGTGGTACTTATAAAGGCATATGTAAAGTACTTATAATGTCATGTATGGCACTTGTAATGACATAAGTGTGGTACTTATAATGACATACATATGGTACTTATTACATCATATGTATGGTAGTTATAAAGGCATAGGTATGGTACTTACAATCAATATGTATGATACGTATAAGGTCATATGTATGGTACTTATAAGGTCATATGTATGGTACTTATAATGGCATATGTATGGTACTTATAAGGTCATATGTATGGTACTTATAATGGCATATGTATGGTACTTATAAGGTCATATGTATGATACGTATAAGGTCATATGTATGGTACTTATAAGGGCATATGTATGGTACTTATAATGGCATATGTATGGTACTTATAAGGTCATATGTATGGTACTTATAAGGTTATATATATGGTATTTATATGCACATATATATATATGGTACTTACATCGTTATATGTAAGGTACATATAACTTTGGTCATATGTATGGTAACCTCTTAACGTTTCCCAACGTCAAGAAAACGGTGACTTTAATGTGCCCTCTCCTAATCTACCAGATGACGTAAAACAGAAAACGGGACAGTACGTCACTTTCGCCAGCCGCTTCCATTTTCTGCCAAACAGCCCAGTCGACGGGGAAGAATCCCAGCCTGGGCGAAATCTTCATTTTTCTCAAAACTCAAAATCAAAACCAGCCATAGAATCGTTTTGAAAATGTTACCATTGTGTTTACCGCAATAATTTATATTTCTTTCTGTTAAGTCTTTCTTTACTAATTTTCAATATTAAGGCTTTAACAGCCATATTTACTGAGATACAGCCAACTCAAATATCAAACTTATCATCGTGTTTTCTCAACATATTACTAAGGAAAATGAGTTGA